CTGGATTTGCTCGATATATCAACGTATCATCTAACATTAATTTCTGATAATGTATTTTCATCAAGATTCTAATAAAAATGCATCGCTGATGAATTTAGATCAAGATGCTACAAACGCGCGAAAATTTGTACATTAAGTTTGTACATTAATTTATTACACGTTTTACGGAAGAAAATGCTAATTTGTTGGATTAAATTTCCAGTTTCCAGTTTTACAGATTTTAAAACATTTTTACGATATTTGATAAAATATTTATAAAAGATTAAAAAGTATATCGATGTGTGTATAAGACTTTAATTTTATCCTTCTTCATTTCGAATTTTTCAAAGACAAAATTTTGTAAAATTTTTCATATTCGTTTGTATCTTAAATATGCTATAATCTTTTACGATTTTCCGCATTTTATGTAAAAAATGAATATGATATAAATTTTTACGCTTTACGTCTCAAAGAATAATATAAGAAGATATAAGATTATATGTATTATTATATAAATTTTAATTATATAATTTTATAACTTAATCTATTAATTATTCCTGAAATGTTTTCATTTATAGTATCGAGAATTTAATTCATCGAAATTAATTTTTACGCTCGTTTTTACGGTATTTGTTTATGAAATGGAAGCATTTTATAGCGTAATAACGTCTTAATAGCTAAATACACGTTTATATCAATGAAAATTAAATGTAATATATGATTTGATTGACAAGAATATAGCACAGTAGTATTGTAATTTCTTTCTCTCATACTCTTAATTTCATATCTTTTTACTTATATAATTTTTTCGGAGTAAATTAGATATAATTTCATATGTATCTATGTATACATTTTATTATAATTACCAAATCGTTGGAATCAAAAACCGCACGCGATTTAATCTGTGTGTTAATAATAATGTTATTATCATTATTATATTATTTTTAATTACCTAAATCTATTAGTAATGCCGTATGTGTTTAAGCTGCAAAGACAAAATAAAAAAGTGTGCCATTTGTAAAAAGTGCGCAAAAAATGAGAAGCAATAAAAATTTAATGATATTAGAATATATAATACCTAAGATATTAAATCGCTATTTACTTCTCCTTTTAATTTCTTCCATTCCTTTCGTTCGATTACATAATATTTCTCAAAAGAAGAAATACAAATATCTCAAAGTGGAAAATTGGATGATTTTTTTAATCGGACAAAAAATTAGAAAAATCCATTTTTCCTGCTGTAAAAATCATTTTTAAAAAGCCTTTATTTAATCATGAGGAGATCGCTGTTATATAGAAATGTCAAGATCCGCATTTCATTGGATTCGTAATAATACCAATACACATTTGCACTGCAATACGATTCTCTTTGAAAGAGCGTTTCTTCTCCAAGGTGTCGTCGATCTTTACATTTCCGGCTGAAATTCGAAAGAAAAGTAAATAACGTTCGCGCCACCTTCTTTATTAACGTTCGGAACGCACGAATTCGGAAGGAAGAAAGGGGGAAGAAAGAGGAAAAAGAAAAAAGGAAGTTGCGTATCTCTTTGTGCGACGTGGTGCTCACGTAACCGTTTCGTGAAACGGTCGCACGGCACAGGAAAGAAGGAAGAGGCCAGAAAAAAGGAAGGAAGGAAGGGGAAGGACGGGGTTCTCCCCACAGGATCTCCCGCTTACCCGCGAATTTGCGAGAGATGCGGGGATTCGGATTTCCTGTCCGCGAGAGAAAGATGTGCTCTCCTACAGATATAGCACATTTCTCTTTTCCTCGTCACGCTCTCGCCTCCCTTTTTCTCACCCCGTTCCTTTTCACATATGCCACGTGTAAAATGTGCCCCTGAAACGCCGCAAAGTGTTTTATAATACTCTCTCGATGGTACAAAGAAAACAGCGGGAAAAAAAGAAAGAGGAAAAACCCGATATATCAAAGAACGAAGGGCAAGCAAGAATTCGGCAAGGGAGAGGAGGAGGAGAAGGGGGGAGGGTTACGTTACGTTCGATCGAACAAGGAAACACAATAAAAATAGTGAGGTCCCCCGAAGCGTGGAGGGACGCGAATCCTGTTTTTCATTCGCCCTCTCCGTCCCTCTTCTTCCTTCGCTTCCGCGAGACGAGTACGCGCGCGCTGCGCGTCGCGCAAAAGCATCCCTCTTTAAGGAGAGAGTCCCACGGTTTGAAATAAAACACCTGGCTTCTCGCTCGCCTGCGTGTGTGCGTCCATGTACATGGATGCACGCGTCTCGGCCGTTTTTAGGCTGCCGGACGCACATCACAATAGAGCTCTAGTTGCCTAAAGGAATGTTTTTACTCTATCGTTTTGTATTCGACACGCATGACTACTTTTTTTGCGACATTAATAAAATATAAGTTTTTTAGTTTTACTCTCTTTTTTCTTGACACACACACGCATATATATTGATAAATTTAAATCCGTGCTCAATTTTGCGAATTTCAAAGAAAATTGCTTTACTCGCAATTGAAAGTGAAAACAAGAGACAGAAAATTTAAGTTATGAAAAAGAGAGAGAAAGAGAAACATAAGCTGTACAATATGTACAAATTGAAATAAGATAAGAGCGAAATAATTAATCTTTGTCATTTATATGTAAAATATATTAGGAATATAAAATAGAAAATATTATTTTTATCAACTATATTTATATTACTCGATACTTTTATTTTAAAGATAAATATAATACAAGAAAGTTTATACTACGCTCTAAAAAGTAGAACATTTCGTATTGAAATACGATATTGAGACATAAAATATTCTGAAAAATATACTCTATCGCAATATATGAAATATTGTGTTAAATTTTATCAAGCATATAGCTCTTACAGTTGCTTTATGAAAATAAAACGTTTCTCTTCGAGCACTTCTGCTCCCTATTGATGTGCGTAGAGTTGCTTAGCTTAAGGTACATGTTCTCACGACGAGAGAAGAAGGACTCGCGCGAGCTTTCTCTCTCCTCTCTCGTTTTTCTCCAACCGGAGACCCGGAGACTGGTTCCCTTCGGGCTTCCTTATAAACTTTATTGAATTCTTTGTAATATGTCAAAGGGTTCACCATGTGTGCAACCGTGAACGCGCGCTCGCGCTCGCACCATTCATATGCTAAACAATAAATTCGTTGAAAGAAACGAATCTCTATCTACCGTTCTTTCTCTTTCCTTCTCTCTCTTTCTTTTTGAGAGAGGAGAGCAGCTGGTACATACCTACATCGTCGTCCAGTTAAAAACCAAGGAGAGGATGATACCTTGAGCTATTTAATGAAGGGTGCAAGATGTACCCTCTGCCTGACGGCGATGATGGTGACGGTGATAGTGGTGGTGGTGAGACCAGCTGCTGCTAGAAAGAAGGAACAATGCATTCGCCAATGACGCACGATTCCGAACAAGCGCGTTTGTAAGTGGGTCATCGGGAATTCTAATATTATGCAGTGGGAATTCAATCTTTTTTCTTTTTTAACGAGATTAATTTTCGTGTCGTCCCGTAACATGTTATCATTACTGACGTGTGCGACGATGCACAGGTACGATGTTAACCCATCAAAGATAATAATTATTAACAACTTTTATGTTTTCTATACATATTGTATATGTAAAGAAAAAGTTCTTTATATTATAATTCAGTTTTATATTAAAATTTTGTACACATACATATTTAGATTGCATATGATTACAATAATTGCATTAATGCATACATTGTGCAAAGCATAAAGAATATATTTGCGAAAAATTTTAAATTAATTTTTAATTATAGATTTTTTGACAAACAATCGATTTGACGAAATGTCAAGACAATCTTTATGTAACATTATGTATCTTTATATAAAAATTCTGAATTCTGTTAAAATAAAATCATTTGATATTACATAAGAATATAATTTTTAGTAATTTTTTTCATCATAAATATTTTATTGTTAATTTTATTGTTAATAATTATTCAGAAAATATAAGTGCCTCAACAATTTCGTCGATTCGAAAAATTCGATTTTAAATTAATCGAAAATTTTTTTCTATCAGTGACATTTTGCATGCATTATGCGATGATATATATACATTTCTGTTACGTACTTTACACGAAGCAAACCCTGCAAATAGGCAACCAATTATGTTATCCCAGGATTGCTCTACTAAGGTTCGTCATAAGTTGATCGGACGATTCGTATCAATGCGGACTTGTAAATGCCAGATGGAATTAATATCGTGGAATGTAATCTGTTAACAGAAAAGTGGAAATGTCTGATGCATCGATTCTGAAATTCAATCATATGTAACGAATATATTCTGCGCGATATAATATTGGAGTTTAAAATTTCTTGTCATGAGACTTTTTTTTCGTAATAATGAAAATTAGTTTTTCTAAGAATTAAAACTAAATATCAGAGAACTACGTAAAGTTTATTCGATTCATTATAAAGCCATTATAACCCTAACAACACACATCCAAAAGATGTGCAAAGATCATCGAGAGGACATCTGGAGGACATAAAATATCCTTTGGCTGTCCTTTAGATATTCTATGGACATCTTTTGGACATGTGTGTTATTAGAGAAATTTTTTCATATTTTCTTTTTTGACATTTTTAAGAAAGGATATTGATATATATTATTACATATGCATATGTAAAATATTCGCCGCAATTTTATTTCCTATACGAATAAATAAACAATGTATATTAAAAAGACAAATTGTCGATTTGCACGGGTTGTTTATGCGAGCAATTGATATCAAAAATTTACATCAACTAACTTGAAATCTCAATTAACAAATTTATATTAATATATATTATCGATTAATTTTACCAACACATACCTAATTATCATGGAAATACATGCTTGTGGCATCAATTAAATATATAAAATACTGTATTCAATTCTGTGCACCATATTGTAATCCATTATTCGCCGCCATAACATAATTATGGATGGAGTCCACTTGTCATTACAAATGCTTCGAAGTGGACTGCGTATGATTTTGCGCATATATTTAATCCTAACCAAATCTGACTTAACCTCCAAACCTTCTGCTATAAAGAGGTTAAATGTAGACAAGAAATTGAGGGAAAATTAAATTTTTTTATTAAAAAAAAAGAAATTTATACAATGAATTCTTTAACGAGAATTTCAAGTAGGTATGTAACAAGTTATGATTCTCATTTGGTTTATCAATTAAATTATTTTTTGCAAATAAAATCACCAAACTATTCGAATATCATTTATCGTACAAATAACATTAGAAATTGACTTATTATTTTCCAAACAGATTAGAAAATAAATTTTGTTAATTTTAATTATCTCACGTGATTTACTTCAGTTTCAGTATTATTTAACTCAATCAAACATTGTTGATCCATTCAAAAACATATTTATATTTAAAATAATTTTGAAATGTTTACGAATGTGTAGAAATAAATTTTATTCTTACTTTAAATATTTGCAGGAAACTATGTCGAGAGTTAATAAGACTGCAATCAACAACTGCATCATCAACCTCGTCCTCGGATATTTATATTCCAAACAGAATAGAACGTAGCCCAACAGATATTTTAAAAGTGAGATAAAATTATACTGCACTTTATTTTACTATTGAAATTATATATATATATATAAGACTAAATATATTCATACAATGATATTTTTCCATCCATGATATAAATGTTATATAATTTATCTTGTAGGCTCTTGAGAGTACAATATCCAGGGATTATACAGCACCACATTATAAATTTCATGACGATCCTTACTTGACACCTCTGTCAAAATCACAGATTCGCAATTATGCTTTAGCAAAAGAGTCTGGAAAGAAAACTGCAATGTGGATTCGTGAAGAACATCATAATTTGTTTCAGCACAAAGTAGCAGATCCTGAAATCAAGGTAATATGTTAGAACTGATTCTATTATTCAAACATATGCATTAATATCTGATTTATCAATTTTTATATTTTACATTTATTTATATCAACAAATTATTATGTTCATATCATGATAAAACTTACCGTTTATAGGCATTTGTACCACCTCCTATTTATACGGAAGAGAGTAAAGTAACAGAGGAAACATTATTATATGAGATATCAAATGCACATGTTTCCAATTCTGTTTCGATATACAATTTATTAAAAGGCGAAGTGACAATACCAACAAAGCAGGCTCTCCTGGAATTGTTGTGTTTTTACAATCATGATGAACCTGCTAATGTTGAATTACTAGAGTCTCGTTGGTTTCAGCTTAGGGAGAAACGCATTAAGAATACATGGATGTGAGTTTATAGAAATTGAATATATTATTCTTTCCATGTATATAATAACTAAATATTCTCATATATAATGTGTTAAATTATATTTTTATATTTTATTGTGATTTGCAGAAGTCGTCCCGAAATCGATATATTGTTCCAATTTTTAAAGGAACAAGAACCTGCAGTAGCAGCCGCTGCATACAACGCAATGATATGCGGTTTGGCTAAATACTACAATGTAAGATATTTAGATTATGATCCTTGAATTGAATTATTATCCTACAGTACAACTTAATTAAAATGAATGTGTGTGTACTTGAATTATAGTAGTGATTAGTATTTTGAGTATTTTGTGTATATAGATTTATTGCAAAAATATTTTTTGTTTATTTATTTTGTTTATTTTTTGTTTATTTAGGGAGATAAGGTATGGCATATGTATAAAGAATGTCAAGAAAATAATATACCACTATGTATCGAAGCATATAATGGTATAATATCGATGGTGTCAATATTAAGAGAAGGAGAGGATAAAACAAAATCATTAATAACAGATATATATAAAGCAATGGCCACGAACGGAATTACTCCAAATATACATACATTTAATGCTGCTCTTAGCGCGACGTCTATGTTAAAAAACAAACGAATAATTCTCGATTTGACCTGCAATATATTCGCCGATATCGCAAAATTCAAACTGAAGCCGACATTAACTACGTATTATTATGTGCTACGAATTTTAAATAAATTCGGTAACTATATAATATTTTTATTTCGCAAAATGATTCCACGATAGATTGATAATATATAAGCTTATTTGATAAAACAGATGATGCGGCCTACACGCCGTTTATAAAAATTTTGAAGTCCTTGAAGGAAGAGACTCTTACCATTCAAAATGCAAAAGATTTATATTTCTTCTTTGTTGCGATGGAAATGGCTTCGAAACAGCTTTGCGAACGTCAAGCAGGCGAAATGGTTAATGAGCTTCTTCTCTCTGGTGACAATTACAAATTCATTGGCGATAGCTACAAAGTAAGTATTCTGAAATAAATCTTCACAATAGTAATTTCTATCCAGAAAAAATATATAACAAAATATATATATATATATATATATATATATAATATATATATATAATATATATAATATATATAATATATATATTGTATATATTCTTTAAAAAATTTGATAATTTTAATGAATTTTTTTTAAATAACATTATGGATAGAATTTGTGATATTTAACTGTATATATACACACACACACACATACACTTTATATTATGTATATTATAGTTATTATTTTCTTGTCTCTCAGGAAAGTTTATATTATCGAGCGTATTTAGAATTAATTTTGGCGACGGAAGAATTTGAAACATTTTACAAAATCTATAGCAAACTCGTACCACATGTGACTATACCGGAACCCAGTGTAATGAAAGCTATGCTAGAAACTCTTCAATTATATCCCGCGGAGACCGCCATACAATATATACCAAAACTCTGGTCACACATGATTATGTTCAATCATCTGGATACGCAATATTTATTGGAAAGCATATTGCATTTGATGAGCGTACATTGTAAACCTGTGTCTGATTCTTCACTGAATGCACAATTTGCAGAGATTGCACTCATCATCTGGGATCATATACAAGTAATTAAAAAATTAATTTTGTTAATTATACAGGCTGTTCTTTACAAAATTCACATTAATATAAGATTGATAAATTTAACATTAATTTTTGTTTAATAAAAAGTCAAGACATTAATATTAAAAATGTAACAAGTATAAAAGTATCATTATTTTTTATCTTAATCAATTTCAAGTAGATTTCATTTTAATAGAATTTTAATTTGAGGCTTGATGATCAAAAAACAGAAAATGCAATAAATGTGATGGTCTTCTTTAATATTTTCATTAAAATTTTATTTAAATTTCAAATTAATTCGTGAATTTGTAATTAAAATTAATTTTGTAAATTATAGAATTGTATTTTTATAATAAGATATGTTAAAGTGATATTTTTTTATCAATACAGACTCAAAATGCTAAAAAAATACAGCATATTATAATGTCCAATACAATAGTGGGCAATATTATAGTGCTGCTTCTACGCGGAGGTAACTTCGACAAAGTAAAAGAAATTTTGTCATTGTTAATTGAATCGCCGCATTTGATAGTCGGTATTCTTATGGAGGATTATGTACACGAGATATTCGAGCTGTGTTTAGCGCAAGCGCATACACCGATAATTTTCGTAAGTATATATATATCCTTTTTTTATTTAATTAAGTTTTATTAATCGATTTATACCATATTAACGTTATTGCATCTATGCTTCCAGAGTCTCTTAGAATATATTACCTCTAACCATCTAGAAGGAGCCGGTGAAATGGCTAGAAAGTTGGAAAAAACTATATCTCTTACGCCCACTCAGAAAGACATGTTAATTAACTTAGTTGGTAACGACATCCTCGAATTACAGCTCTCCAACGAATTAAATGAAGCCAAATGAAGTATAAAGTACACTTGGTCCTTGATTGCAATTTTGTAGTTAATACAATGATAGCACAGTGTAAAAATGAGCAGAGAAATACACATTTCAGACATTAAAAATTATAACATAAAAAAATATCCATAATATAAATATATCTTGAGATATATAAAAATATATCAGTCATTTTTTTAAATGTAAATTGCTCCCTAAATTGATACTCGGTTACTTAAATATATAAGATTGCTTTTAAGAATATTTATGTATTATAAATATTCTTTATACAAAATTGTAATACGTATATTATCCTGGAAGAGAACTTACTTGACAGAAAGCTTTTTGCATTATCATTATTTCGTAGCGCATTGCGTTTTAAAAAATTAAACGGGGAACCTTTAAACAACCAAGCATGATTGACATGTATTAATGTCCTTGTCTCTTGAGAGTTGGGGCGAAAATCATTAATAAATTAAATCGGTTACGGTGGGAGGCGGCAACCCTGTAGTCACTCAAATACTCATTTCCTGTGTTAGACTGCACAACTCTTCGGTCCACTGTAAAGCATAGAATGTTAAAGTTAGCTCTATCTGGAAAAATCGAGAAGGTATCGTCAGTATTATCGTCATAGAGATTGGAATTTCCGACAGATCTTTATTAGGATGATGGATAGCGGCGGCGATGGTAGCAATAAACTCACGCTCGACGATGTACGAGAGTTAATTATCAAAAATATCGAGCCTGATGTAGAAATTCATAGTTTAGACGAAGAACCAGGATCGGGAAGAGGAGACAATTATACTTCGATGTTGTACCGGATCCGAGCGAAGGGGCGTAAGCTGTTGAAAGAAGAATGGATTAATTATGAATGCACCATCATTTACAAGATTTTGCCGGAATCTAAAAAACGTCGTGAAGCTTTTAAAAGCGAATTGTTATTCAGAAATGAAGTCGTATTCTATAAGCACGTGTGGCCCGCATTGAACAGACTTCAATCGAATGATAAAAGGGTGTTTAGTGGAATACCTAAGATATACGCTGCTAGAGCCAATCTTATCGCTATGGAAGATCTGAGAGAGAGAGGCTTCAAGATGGCAGATAGACGGCAGGGGCTGGAAATGGAAAATTTGAAATATGTATTGAAGGCTTTAGCGGGATTTCACGCCCTTAGCTTAACGCTAAAGGAATCCAGGTGAGTACATCTGAAATTTCTGTAATTATAAAAATTAATAATAATAATAAATTTTAAATTAAAATAATTCGAAATAATTAATCAGGTTTTCAAAGGAATAGCATAGATGTGTTTGAGAATTAACTGCTGAAATTAAAAATATTAATATAAAATAGAAATATTAATAAAAAAGGATTATTTTTTTTTTCATTAACAAGCACGAATTGTTTTATCTCTTATTCTTATCTACTTTTAATGCAAAGAGATAAATTACTCTTTGAAGGCCAGAGGAGTTCGCGAAATTAACAAATCCGGAACATGATCAAAGTGTACGTGAAACATTTTTTCGACGAGACAATGAAGATTGGTATCGACAGTATTATCGTGTGGCTGTGAATAATGCTATCAAAATGGTGTCCGAAGCACTACCTTTGCATATGGATCATAGAAGAGAGGAGATAATGACGAAGCTGCATGCTTTCCTAGACGAGGACGTATTTTTTCGCACTATGAGTGAGCTCGTCTCGACGCAAGGACCTCTCTCTGTATTTTGTCACGGCGATTGTTGGACCAATAATTTCCTCTTTCAGGATGAACCAAGCTCAGATACGGAGGTGAATCTTTTATTTTATTATGAAAATGCGAAAAGTGTGAGCATGCATAGCATATTGCATCCTTGACGTATCTACGATAAAAGATTGCATATTCAATGAAAGATAATTCATTAAGAGAAACGATATTTTGTTTTTATAGATCTTATCTTTGTGCGAGATAACGAGACCGTTTTTGTTCCATATACACTTTTATTATATAAATTTATAAGATTCTTATATATGATTCAAATGCTTCTTTTCTATGATTTTATTAAAAAGACTCCAGTTTAGCGAAATTGGTCACACCTAGACTCGTGTAGCCGCGCGCGCAAAGAAAAGATTCTTGCATTATGTACAATTACAATTAATTTCCGACGATTTTCAGATAAGCATAACATAAAATTACATTCAAAAATATGAAAGTCAAGAGAAAATGTATAATGTACATTTTATATTTTTTAGTTTTTAATCATTCCCTTTTTCTACTTATCCCCTTTTTATACTTATAGTTTATTTTTCACTATTTAATTTCTTCATTTTCACGTTAATTCATAAATAATTTCAAACATCGATTTCAATTTCAATTATCTTAGAAAAATGAACTACGATATACATTGCAAGAATATTTATCTCGCGTTATAGATCGCAATTTATAAATCATATTCTGACATGTTGGCTGGCACGAGAGTGCGAGGTGCACCTCACCGCGAAACCTCCTAGACTTAACTTTTAATACTGTGCTTCTGCAGGCCGTTTATCTTGTCGACTTTCAACTAACGCGGGTTGGCTCCCTCGCTCTTGATCTTGCGAACTTGCTATACTGTTGCACAAGTGGTGTTGTTAGGCGGGCTTACATGACACAGCTTCTCCAGCATTATCATTCCCATCTGATGTCCTCCTTGCGTGTCCTCAATCCAGAACAGCCACCAAAAGATCCATCTGCCGTATGGGAATTGTAAGTAAGAAGTTACCGAATTGTAAAAGCGATGATTATAGTTATTATAATTTGGTTCGTTCAAAATCAAAGCTTATTTTTCCAAATTATCTTAATCTCATATTTAAAAAAATAAATATGCTATATAAAAAACTTTTCCCAATAACTAACCATTTTTATGAACTTGAATATAAATTGAAACAATTTGAAACAGTACATTAATTTTATTTATTTTAAATTCTTCAATATTATTTATTCAATTGATTATAGATTGAACGAAGAGATGCGAAGATGTGGTCGATTCGGATTGGGATTAGCATTGGATATGTTGCCGATTAGTACATGTGCTAGTCACGAAGCGCCGAATTTATACGAGACGAGTAGCGTGGAAACTAATCATAGCGAAGAGAAATATGTTATGATAGAACCACCACCTGGAGGCGCCGAGTGTGCTCGACTCATGACTGACTTAGTATTGGAATTAATAGATAACAAAGCTTTGTAGATTAAAATATATCGCATTAGCTTTGGTAACAATGCATATGTAATAATATGTATGATGTATATTATACATGTATACGTCTTACATTATTTTTATAAATTGCATCACTCTTATGATGTATCACTTCAGAAAAATAATATAAAGAATTATATGAAATTCAACATACATGTGCATGTAATGAAGAAAGAATGAAGAGAAATAGTTTTTCACTAATTGATCTAATATATACATCTATATAATAAAAATGAAACATTTAAATTTTCCTAAAAGATATGAAATCGTTCTGCATATAGATATAGCGTAAGGTAATGAAAATGACCTGTAGTTCAGAGACAGATAACCATTATATATTAATTAAAAATGGAGAAATGAGAAGGAATTGAAAAATAATAATGTAAAAATTAATTGATAACGTGTCGATTCTTCTGTAAAAGTATTTTGACAAAAGCATTTATATAGATTTATTATTAAAAAAATGTTAAACTCACGACAGAGTTATGTCTGTTGCGGCGGTGTATGCGGTGGCGGCTGTTGTGCTTGAGACTGCGGACTCGGAGGTTGCTGTTGCTGCTGTTGCGCGCCAGGTGGTTGCCAAGGTGGATGCTGTTGATTCTGTTGTTGTTGTTGTTGCTGTTGCTCTTGAGCCAATCGCTGGTGAGCCTGCTGCCGCGCCCTAAACTCGGCCGCCTTCAACTGCTCCAAATGGAACTGTTGTCGCTCAGTGATAAGCTGCTGCCGCTGATATTCGAGACCTTCGCGCTCGCGCTCCATCGTAGTTTCTAATTCCTCGAAGTGACGCAATTTGATCTCTAGCTTCTTCATCTGCGTTTCAACTAGTAATGCGACTAATGATTTTATCTTGCGTTCCTCTACAGCTGCCAAATGTTTAGCTTTAACAGCTGCAGCCGCTAGCGCCGCTGCTGCCGCGGATTGAAGCTGAGCATCTCTTACAACCTGTACCGAAAAATAAGATTTAATGTGTTACAATGTCTGATCGTCTAAAAATTTTAAAATTTATTAAAAATAAAATATTTAAATTTTTTTCAAGTCATGTGTCACGATGCCTTACCTTATCTTTCTTTTCCTTCGCTTCCGCAGCTTCTGGATCGGTGGTGGACTTTGCATCTTCTTCATTCTCTTTCGATTCGTCTTCCTTTTTCCCAATGTCCACCTGAGATGGTTCAACGTCCATTGCGTCTTTAGGTTTCTCTGGTTCTTCTTTCTTTGCTTCAGAAGTTGGCACTGCAGAGTGAGGCGAGCTAACGTGACCTGTCGTAGGAGTCGCAGCAGATGCTGTGTCATCAGGCGGTTCGGGTGGCCCTGTACCAGCGATGCCTGATTGTGCCAAGCCTGCTGCTGGATCAAATTTACCTATTAAAAAAAAATAAAAAATATTTATTTATTATATACATATATTTCGCACAAAATTATTTGCATTTTATTCTCTAAAATAAATCGTAGAGCATATTTAGACATGATATATGATTAGAAAAAAAAGAGTTACCGTCTGAATTAGCGCTAGCTTGGACGTTTCTTAAATGCTGATCCAACAATGCTGCTGGCACTTGGTCCTTTATCGCAGCAAACTCTTCCATGGCAGCCTTTGCCGCGCTCGCTGCTACTCTAGGATCAACGACCGATGCAAGAAAAGCAACCGTGCTCATGACAGGATTACCAGCTTTCGAAAAGGGTACTGGTTGATAAGCCAAAGGTCCCAATCCCTCAGGTCCACCTTCCTCCAGATACGGATCCTCTATAGGTAGACGTAAGAAGTGCAAGATACATTCGTCCTGTGTTCTCGAACCCACATGTTCGCATACTTTGTTCCAGTCGTCCTTATGCAGTTCCAATCCCTCCAATAGCAGAAGCGTCTCTTGTTCTGTCCAATCGCGTGTAGCGCCCGCCGCTTGCTTATTCTTCAGAACCGCCGGTTTTCTCGAATACTGATCGATCTTCAGACCAAAATTCGCCATCGCACCTGCCGCAACTTTTTCCTCCGGGACCGTCCCGACCACAGGTTTTTTCTCCAGATCAAGCAACATCTTCGCGGCGGACGGCTGTGGTGTTTTCGGTGGATTTGGATTAACTGGTGCCAAACCGGACGGCGTATCTGACAGAACATGGAAATGCGACGTAGGCGGAGGTCCCATGGGCGTTGGTCTAGATTCCGCGTCTACTTGATAATTGATGAGTCCCCATTGCTCCAAGAACGCGTGAACACGCATAATAGCGCATACATCTCCGGCTAAATTCCGCCTATAAAAATATACATGTAAAGAAACTGATTTTTTTTTTATTCATCGATAAAACAATTACATTAATATATTATAATATTATATTTTAAAGTAAATTAGTAAATTATATGATGAGTTGATATAAGTTACCTGCAAGCGGTCGATGTAATATATTCCGTTGGATTTAGTCGATAGGTATCAATCATAAAATTCCTATATGCAAGATAGATTTCTGGAGTTTTGGATTTATTTTTACCATTGAAAAATTCCGACAGAGCTCTCTTCTCGATAGTGTGAATCGAGTTATAATCGAACCAGGCAGAATAACTAGGAACAACAATGTGATGTGTCTGCTCTGTCACATTATCTTCCGGTTCATCGCCTTTGCCACCTTCACCCCTTTCTTTACTAGTATCTCTCTCTTCTCTGTCTTGGCCTCCTTGAGAACTACCTTTGTCTCCTATGTGATGTAAGTTTTTATAATTCAGAGTTTGTTAAATTAAAAAATATTTCTTCATGAATTATTGATTTGTCAACATTATGATAAATTAATGTGAAATACTACATTGCAAATTTGAATTTAATTTATCTAGATTTTTTACACACCTTCCATTTGTTCATCAAGATCGGTCAAATTGCCGGATTTGAGAGGTTGAAGCTCGCTATCTTGCTTTTTACTACCAGTAGATGCCAAAGTAGAATTTCCTGTTGTTGAATTACCCTGGCCTGTAATTGGTAGATTCGTGGGTGTAGCAACTACTTCAACGATGCGAGGCTCGGCTGGTGGATCCTCCATTCCCTGAGTTAAATCTTCCTCTTCGTCGCCGCCGCGTGATTTCTTCGGAACTGTTGCCGATGACGCGGACGCGCTTTGAATACCCGATGGAGCTCTGCTACTGTAAGTAATAATATAAAGTCAAAAATGAGAAAAGTTCTTGTTAAGATTCGAATTTGCTGTGAAAAATTTTCGCACCTTTTACGTTTTCCGAGCTTTGGAGGTGGGCTGGGTGATCGTTTTCTCTTAGGTTTCTTTGCGGGTGGCGGATGAGATGGCTGTGCCATCAAATCTTCTACAGAGAGTCTGTACTTGTGTACTCTTTTCTGACCATTATCATCTACCTCGTAATCTTCCTCATTCATCCACTCGTTATATTGATCCAAATCTAGAGCCCATGTAGCCGATACTTTGTACACTGACCTATAGAGAACAATTTACAAAATTTCTTTATTTAACTATATATTAAATAATATATAAATATAAATATATTTTACTAACAATGCTTCAAATTTAGCAATATTAAAATAACTGTAACTTTTCAGTCAATTTGTTAAAAAATTATTAAATACCTTGAATTTGTATTTGTGTAAGTTCCTTCAGGATAATCCCATGGAAGATCTAATGTTGACCAGGAATCATAACTGTCTGGAAAGTAGTACCAATGAATTAGAACCGATCTTTCGCGTCTCATACAAGGACGCGCATATTCTTCTTCCATTGGATCCACTGGAGGATAGATAATATGTGAAGCATCTGCTTCATTTTCAACAACAGTTCCCTGATGCTTTCTAACTATTTCTTTGACTTTTGCAGCTGTGTTTTTATCAACATCCGGTCTCACAAAAACACTTGGTACAGTCATACATCTATTCTGTATTAAAACACGTTCCGCTGCCATCAGCATATCTACTGTACGGTCCATACGCGATCCTGACTGTAATAAAAGTTTTCTAATTACTTTCTCTCTCTCTCTCTCTCTCTCTGTATATATGTTTTTTTTCAAGTTCTACATATTTTTATAAATTCTAAATATTTCTAAATATTCCTTACATATGTTAATAAGATTTCAAAAATAATTGTTAAAAATATATTTAGAAAAAAAGAAATTACTTTTCCACCAGGGAAATCGAAACGCCGCCATCCTTGCTCCTGCTTGAAACGATATGCAGTGGCTAATATATGACACACACCACCACCAGGTTTAAAATCTAAGAAACATTTCATCTGCAACAATTAAATTGTCAATTTAAGAGTACACAACAAAAGAATACTACTTTTATTATCTGACATTTCACGTACCGGAAGCCTGGTCATAGGTGGCTTTGATACATTTTTTCCTAGATTATCTTCCTGAAATTGCAGAAGCTGCACCACTAATGTAGCTAAACTCTTATTGGTGGGTGGATCCGTTTGCACGTACTATGGAATAAAAAATTTTTTCTTTTTAATGAACATTGTACAAAGGTATAAGAGAAGAGTATCAAACGTCAACTTTACTCGCAGCCAATACAGGTTAACAAAACATCGTTTTACGTTACTCCAATTTGCTTTTACAATAACAATCTGCTTTTCCCCTTAACGTTACGTCAATTTCCCGTTTATTTTACGCATATCCATACATGAAACCAAAGATAAGCGATAAATTAACGATCAATTAATTCCACGACCGCGTACAATTACGAGTCATCGAGACGACTCTCGCATACGCATTAATACTGTACGAGTTATATCGGCGCATATCGTGAAAATTGTCGCGAGATTCTTCGAAGAAACGTCGTATTTCAGCGATACGCACTGATTATCGGATAAATCGCGATCGACGAGAGAACGTGCGCCGAGAATAGAAGGGAGATAGAGAAAAGAGCGAAGCCGCGACGAGTTTCCGACGCCGGGTCCATGTTCGCACGAAACGAACGATACCTTTTTGCAATTCTTGAGAAGCCACTGTTTCACACCATCAAGCTGGGTAAGAATTTCCTGCGCCTCGAAGAACTTGGCGTTGGGTCCACCGTCCTTTTTCGGCCCTAACGACAGCATCTTTCATAGATCTTCGACGATGAAACTCGACGAAACCGATCGGGAAGTAACGCGCCGAGCGCAAACATGACACGCCTCTGAAGTTGGCTGTGCTTGTTTGTCGGGCGCACGTTTACCGCAACGAAAACACGTGTCACTATATATATGTATATGTAACGGGACGTATCGTGCATCCGATCTAGAGGTACGCGCGAGATTTTGTCGTCGCTCGTGCGATTTCGCGACGTCGCCTTCGAAAATTGAAGAAAATATTGTTATTTTGACGCGAAGCGAAGCGCGATGGTTGGTAAACGCGTCCTTAAAACATGGCTGCCATACGAGAAGCGCACTGCAAATGCTCGAGAGCCGAGTCGCTATTGGTCGCCACCGTTGGCAACAAGAAGGAGAGGAAGTGAAGGGAGGGGGGGGGGAATTGAGCGACAGTGCTGCCCCGAAATTCCGAGCCGATCAAGCTTCCGGAGTCTTATAGGGATATTCTTGAGAAGGGGGGAGCGCGGGAGGACACTTCAGGATGCGTTGGTACCAATGCACAACTGCCATTTGCAACGTGATGCATAATCGACGTCGAGAAGTCTGTTCGCGTCGCGATCAATCTGCTCGAGGGAGAAGGTCCAACTAGCACGGCAGGAAACGCCAGTCAACCTTGAAAATAACCAAGTCTATTTTTAATTAGCCTCTCGTTTTTTCGCTCGTTTTTATGTCATGTCTAGGCAATAGGAAAATGTTGGATCGATATTGCACTGTTCGCGTCACGTGTCGTGAACGTTTTCCGCACTTTTTGTTCTCGAATGGAGGCGACGCGAATACGTCGCGACGGGAAGGAAGGTGTAAACAGGGTGTATATAAAGTGCATATAAACTATTAACGTCCGATAGCTTCGCTATCGATATTGCATTAAACACGTTACATAAATTTTTCTCCATCGCAATCGAAAAGTTCCCCGCTTTTATTCACCGTTATTTTTTTCTTTTTATATCGCTTCGCAAATAATGCATCTTTAATAACGCCACTTGAAATCCCTGTTACGCTTGTATAATTTATCATTAATTAAGCGCCATAGTTATCTCTGTCTTTGTATCGTATATCCGTTTTTCATTGAATATACGAACCTAAATATAAATATTTGTAGGTTATTTTGTATTCGTTACATGTTTACGTATCATTCGTTTGTTTTTCTATTTTACAAAAAAAATGCGATATGAGAATTTTATATGATATTAAGTAGATATTATGACTATAAAATATGAATAAAATATCGACAGGTATTTAATGAGTAGCATTTTTCACTGCAGGTACTTGAATGACGCGATGATTATTAATTACAATTATGCATATGCTGTATAACAAAAAATATAAGCAAAAGAAAATAAATGATTCATTATTTAATTATTCTCGAATGAATAACAATCGCAATCGACGTGAGTGATGTTCGAGTTAGAGGGGTAATGGCGGAAATTCGTTACAACAACTTCCGCCATCGCGAGTGTCTCAATCCATAAAACTCAATAATACACACTCGCATAAATCCGATGTATATCGTATTGATTGGACGGGCTGAAATTACTTCCACTACATCGATGAAATTCAAGTCTTGATAGTAGTTGAAAATACATGCAAATCGCGAGATCGTGGGGTCAACGTCCTCCAACGCTTACAACCGGCTCGTGACTATTCGACGTTCGTCGTGTATATGTGATTATTTTTTTTTTTTTTTACGTAATCCTACACACTCGCGTATACATATGCATATACACACATGCGCGTCGCGATAAACCGCTCAGATTATTATTAATATCAGCGTATCTCGTGTTTCTCCTCTCGGTATTTATCGAGAGAATATTCACGTTTTTTCCAAGATACATTTATCGACGCACGCTGCTCCCTCGAATGAGGCACGCAACGTGCAATAGTCGTCCGCCATTGCTCCTTGTCGTTGGCGCCAAATCGCCGATCGCTCGATCCCGCGCGCCAAATTCCTCCGGCGCGAAAGATCCCGCTCCGCCTTCGCCTCCACCTCGTCCTCCTCCTCCCCCGCACGGCGAGGAGAGAAGAAGAGGAGGAGGAGGAGGAAAGGAAGAGATACCCGTCCGCGTCGCGATATCCGGCTTGGTTCTCGCGAGACAAAAGGACGATTTTTCGATACCGACGATACGCGGGCGATCTTTTGGCGGGAATTCGTTGGCGCGCTCCGATCCGCCGCTCTAGTGGGGGGGAGAGGCGCTCGGGACGGCTCGACGAATCGCGTCGCAGTACATCGTCGTCGGTCAGTTGCGCGGCTCCGTCACATTCTCCCGGTAAGTTAACTTCGTATATACGTGCGTGTGTGTGTCGCGTAAATCATAAGCGTATGTATATCGACGACTCGACTTAACGACGAACCGCCGCCTCCCGACAATAGAGAGCCCGAGGGAGAGAGCGAGAGAGTCTCTCCTCTCCGGAGAAACGGAGTAGCGCACATCGCTGCCGGCCGGCCCAGCGTCACGGAGGCAAGAGTGGTGGAGCTGTGTAGTATTCGGCGGGGCGTACGAGCGTACGTGTACGTGTATGTGTGCGTGGTACGCGCGCGCTTCGTATGTATGGCGGAGTGCACGGGGAGAGAGATAGAGAAAGAGAGAGAGAGAGAAAGCACAGCGGCGCCTACTAATATACGGCGATACGGCGGCGAAGCGAGCGAGAGTCGGGAAGCGTGCCGAGTGCACCGCATAACGCGAGTAGACGAGCGAGAGCGAGTAGCGTTTCGTAGCTAGAGTGGTGCGTTGGTGGAAGCCGCAGCATCCCGCGCGATACAGTACGGTTCGGTACGACGCGACGCGACGCGACGCGAGACGAGGCGACGTGACGTGACGTGACGTGACGTGACCGCGAGACACCGTCGCTGCCGTTGCCGCCGTTGCCGCCGCCACGCCACGACGCGTGCAACCAACCGGCGAAGCAACCGGAGCGCGATATCACCCTTTGTTCTCCGCGGGGAGGATTAGTGTCTGCCGTTTACGCGATATTTTCCCCGTTGACGCGAGTGAGGTGAGTGTGATGTGCGTGCAACGCCGCGTATCCCTCGCGCGCCTCCCTCGAATAAATTTCTCCACGGGACTATGGCTATGTATTTATTAAGGGCGATAAGCGCGCGCGAGACGTGAAAGAACGGGCCGGAAGATTGGCCGGGTCCGCGGAGGATTTTTCGGCGGCTCCCGCGACCACGTCGGGTCGTTACTTGCAGAGATATCGGCGGATGGGCAGCGGGCTCGACGCGCGCCGCGCGCCTTCCTACCGATCGGGAGAGACGCCGCCGCGGAGGTACACGCACACGACTCGCGACGCCATGATTCGCGCCTCTCTCATGGCGTCCCCGGCGAGCGCGAGCGTCCTGTCGCCTCGGGTCTCCCGGGGTTTCGCCTCTTGCCGCGCGGGCCGGCGGTTCCGCGGCCGCCAAAAATTCGGGAAAAAATCGCCGATCGCGAGGAACGCGATTTCGCCGCGCGAGACGCGCGACGTGACGTCGCGTTCGCGACCGCGACCTCGATGCGGCCGTTTGCCAAGTTTGAAAATGGCGGGCGCGGAACTTTTGGGGAGAGAGAGGCCGTCGCGTGACGCCGTTGCCTCTCGACGGTGCTTCGATACGATCGCCCGCTTTTCGCCCGCGATTCGTCCGTTTGACGCCGAGCGATTTTTCACCCGTCATCGTGGACGGTTTCGCGGGACGAAAATAAATCGTTGTCGGATTAATCGTGAGTGCGAGTTGTATTTTTTGGATCCCATCGGTGCCGCGTGCGCCATATCATTCGCGGCCACCGAGACCGTTTTTACAACGCAAATTATGCGCGCCGCCCGTACCGCGAGACGCGCAATTGATAGTACTGATTTTCGCGGCGAGTTTGCGCATCTCTCTCTTTCTCTCTTTCTCTCTCTCTCGTCGCGATCCCCAATACTCGGAGAAGCGCGCGAGAAGAAAATATCGGAAGATCGATAGTCATATTTGCTTTTTTTTATTTTGTTTGCTGTTTTTCTCAGATTCGGAGACTCATTATCGCTCGTATTTCAATAACAGCGATACAACGCGAGTTTGTTTTCTCGCTTCTCTCTCGCTATAAGATCACAATGTACCTTTGGAAAGATATATTTACATACATTTTGATGATATATATTTATTTTCTTTTTTTTTTTCTATATATATACGATATACGGCACTAATTTTGCAAGAACAATTATTCGCGAATAAAATCACATCTCTTTAGTATCTTGATAGAAATTAAATAAACTACTATTTTTTTACATTAATTGCACACATAATATACGTAGATGTATACACAGATGATTCGGAATTTTTTCACTTTCTAGTTTATCTTATTGGAGACGATACGATCTGAAAAGAGAGAAAACATTGCGTGAGATAATCGATATTGTTCTTATTTTACAGTGAAACAGGACAATAAATATGTCAGACGACAATTCGCCTGTGGTAGAGGAGCAAAAAAAGAAGAGGGGTAGGCCTGCCAAAGCGGACAAGAACGCAGTTAAAGAGCCCAAAAAGAGGGGTAGGCCCGCAGCAGAAAAAAATAACGCGGTACGTCCAGCGAAATCTGATAATGAGGACGATGCGCCACCTGGACCTGTTAAAAAAGGAAGGGGTCGACCTAAGGGCTCCCACAAGAAGAAGGTACATGGCAAATACTAGAATGTTAACACTTGCGTATAATATTTCAAAGAATGTAAATGCGCGATCTTTTCATATTAACGATTGGTCTATATTTACAAAAAAATTGTATTAAATTTACAGCAAGGACCACCAAAAGGCACAACTACTTCGCCACGTGGTCGCGGAAGACCGAAAAAAACAGAAGAAAAACCCGAGATTACTGGCGAGGATGAAGATGAACAAGAAGAGGAAGAAGAAGAAGAGGAAAATTGAAGAAGCATCTTCGGATGCAATAGGGGAGGATGAAACTAACACAGCTGACCTATCCTTCGAAGATCTTTAAACAAAGTCGTTTTAATTAAAGTTAAGTTCTTTTAAACTCTAATTTCTTGTTCTAACTCGGGAATTTTTGAGCAAATCGAGTGGTAGGCACTGTTCTATAACCAATTATTGGAATTTTCTCTAAGAAATTCTATAAAATATGGTGTACATTGCCACACGCTAACAAATTCAAAGAGAAACGTAGGATACAAAAGTTGTGTTACGCGAATTTATTAAGTTCTTTTTATATTTACTTGACATTACTACTATTAATAAATAATGAAATCATACTTTTAAGTGCTAAGACTACGTACGTGTAACTTTTTTCAACAGTAAAGGACTGGATTAAAATACAGATCTCAAAAACTTTTTTTAATTGACACTAAAAGTGAGATTTGATAATCTTATTAAAAAAAATCTCACAGTATAGATAGTATTGTCACATATTTGCTACCTCCTTTTCTCCTACATATGTGTATTACAATTCATGAAGCCAAAAGAAAAAAAAGAACTTCATACCAATCTAATATTGTAAGAGATAGAGAAAGATAAAAAAATACTTCTTGTATGTAACATATGCAGGGACTATTCTTTTTTAATTAATAACACTAATATTGTATTAGTGTTCTATTTCTAATTAATACATTTTCTTAATGAGTGTACATTACTGTCGTTTTTGAGGCAAGCATATGTGTGAATGTCAAATTTGTATTAAAGTAAATAAACTCAAAGTACTCTTATTAATTCTGTGTTTATATTTTTCCAAAAATTTTAATAGAAAAATTTTTTGATAGTTTGCAAAATTGTAGCGATACTTTATATAAACAATAATAGATAATTAATTTTCAATTATATACATTATATTTGTGAAGGACATTGTTTTTTAAAACTTATTCGTGCAAAAGAAGAAATTTTGATGGGAGAAAATAAAATGCAAAAAATGATACTAGGAAATATGAATATGATTAAAAAATATGTTACATATAAATAATAGAGTTGTGATAAATTTTATACTTGTATATTTTACTGTAATAATTACTGAAATAGTTGTGTAAAAATCAATATCCATGTACATAATATTGATTGGTTAATACTTCAAAATTTGCAAATGTGTATAATACTTGATATGACAAGATAGTAGGATGTGCGTATGGTCTAAATAAGAGTGACTAAGAAATGATTGAGGAATTGGAATTATTAAGTATATTTTTAATATATTATTTTTTTTTAATAAAACTTTGGTTCTTTTAAAGAATCTTTATATAAAAAAAATGTTTTTTTTAACTTCAAGTCATAAATTCCATTAATGTGTAAGAACTGTAGTTCATATATAGAATAGTAATAAATATTAAATAATTGATATTTAGAGTTTCTATGGTGGTAGTCATAGAGCATAAAAATGATTCAAATGCCATGCAAAAAATGTACTATTAATGACCACTGAACAGTTCTGCATTCTCTTCGGTATCCATGGATTGATATCCTTGCTGTAAAATTAATCAATTCTTATTTTCAAAGCACTTGCATGAATTGCAAGTGAAGATAATCTTACACACTCGTCTCTGATGTGTACTGTAGCATTCGTCCAACAGTTCAGTCTCCCAGTCATCCTCTTCCTCTTCTCCAGGATCAAAGTTGTACATTGGCATAAGTCTATGTCTTAAACGCTCCAACTTGCGCTTCCTCGATATAATCAATACCTTTAAAGACAAAGTTAAAGATAAGTTAAATAACAAGAAATCTTATTTATACCTAACAAAAAAGCAGGATAAAGCATTGTTAAAAAAAATATTTTATTGAAATTGTATAGTTATTAGTTGTATAGTTTATGTCTTGCATTTATATGCATTCCTTTCTTATAAAACAATATAGAATTACAACAAAAAAATTGTTAAAACATGTACATATTTACAATAATACGTGTCTCTTTAAATTTCTAATGATTAGTATTTAGAATGTTGCATTTAGAATGTTGTATGCTATTTTTCTATATCTTTCTATTACTAGTGTGTATTTATAAACAAAAATAGGGCAGGGTAAAAACGTCACGAAATAATGACAAAAGTGATATCGCTACCCATACCACAGCTGATAATATAATAACAGAGACGACCACACCGAGTGGCACAAAAATATATTCTACTCCTTCCGGTGGACCAAATTCATCGAAAGATTCAGTTGTTGAGGTGTATATTGCAGTACTTTTAGAAATATTAAATGGTATTGCTGTGGGTCCAGACAGTGAAGTTACAGCAGTTTTAGATAGATTCCATAATCGTTGGTTACTCTCATTTTCCTGCGTCAATTCTGCATATGTTGTCGTGGACGTGTTTTCATTGTAGATTGTACTTGCCATGTTTGTTGAGACTGTCTCGAGATCGTTTACCAATATAGTGTACAAAATAGAGTCAGTAACATCCGTCGCATTGAACTCTCTCATATCATTTGTACCATTATTCTCGTACATTTTATTATAGGAGACTTTGTTGTTAATTGTTAAGCTGTTAGAATTAGTCACACCGAATAATCATAGAAAACTCTATAGATGTGGCACATATTTACAATTTACTCCTGCATTAAGACATGTTGTTAATAAAATCTATATATAAAAGTTCTTTTAAGTTAAGTAGTCATGCATATAAAATAAGAAGCGTTTTCTCATTACGCATCGTTATTTCCCCGCGATTGGTGTTATATATCATTGGACTATCGTGTATTGAGATAGGTCTACGTACGTAATCTAGATTTTGTGCAAGACGTAGATATCACAAGTCGATTATCTATCAAGAGACACACTCTGTCAACAGACACGTGTACACTCAGTGTATTCTCCGTGACCACCTGCGACCAGCTACACATATCATGATCGCCGTAGATACTCTGTCATTCTTTGACTATATGTATCGATTTACGTATGTGTCGAGGAAATGATCATCGATGTCAATTCGTTCCAATCATACCTGATGGACTTATCAGTAATTGTTCGCACTGCAATGACAGACAGATAATTCGGAGATATCGGCTTTATTATCGTTAAATGGCAAGAAATCGCATAAGATTTTTCACAGCATTCTTCCAGATTGTCAGAGATCAAGCTCCATTGCGTCGCAATTATATTCTATCTGAATCGATACAATGATCCACGAGTTGTTCTACTACCGTCTTGGTCGTCGCTGCATCGTCGAAGGAGATGTTCTCGTTGGCGTTTCCTCGCGCCTCCATCAACGTCGCACACATCTCGACATCTTGACACTTCGCACTTCGGAGTACCTACGTATTTACTGCTGCGTACGTCGGTCTCAATTTGCGCATGCGCGGAAACTCCTCCGTGTTCCTCCAATACCATCTGACGTTTGCGCGTGACGACTATAAGGTGACTCGTTTGACAGGTGACTGGCCGATGCTCTCTTTAAATGCACCTTCATTTTCATTCGCTTCTTTTTATATGACTCTCTTATGTAATATATATGATATATATATATACATTATATAATTTATATATATATATATATTCATTTACTTATAATTCATCTCACTTTGAGGGCGCAAGATTTTTCGAATAACCTTGATAGAGCTAAATGGAAGAATCTGAAGAAATAGCGATATGTAAGAGTTTGAGAACCACTGTTTTTGAAGGCTAGGATAATTGTAGAGGTTAGGTTTGATTCCAAGAAGCAGACGACGGACTGATCGTGTAATATATGTACTATACAAAACACGTGTTTTCTTGCCGGCTTACATCATTTGTTGTGTCATGTCATCATGAACGATACATATTTTGAAGGTCACGTACGATCCAAAATATTCAATATTTTATAATAACTATAATACTTTATAATAACTGTGATATCGATCATCATGATTGTGCACGAAGTTTTCTACACCGAGAGATTTTAACGCACGACACGAGGTAGTCTTTTGATTAGAGATCACTTTTCACCTTATCAGCTCGATGACGCTTCTTGAAATCCCTGTGATCGGATCGGACGCCGAAGTAAAGTATTACATGGGGCAGAAATGTTTCACGAACAAGAGGAATCTGCTGCGAATCTCTCCAAGAGAAATATTTTGCTCACATCATTTATCGTAAGTGTCGTTTCATCTATTACTGATTATCCGTAACTTGATGTTTTACTATCTCTTGTGCTAATCTTGTATATTGACTTATTTATCAGATGTGCACCTTGCCTTGAATAAATTGTATACATCTACCATATATACTTTGTATAAAATAAATAATTATATAAATAAATTTTTATGAATTAAGCTAGTTATGTATTTTTTTGTGTCATAAATAACTTAGCATAGATATGTCATTTGTATTATTAAAGTTTCAAAATTTTATAAATCTTTTTAAACTTCTAAAACAAAAGTCAGTTTTTTATTTAAAAATAATCGCTATTTGATGTCAGTCAGGTGCTCTTGCAGGGATCATTTGTGACGTGACGCTTTATCCATTGGATACCCTTAAAACAAGACTACAAAGCCAGCATGGATTTTTCCAATCTGGTGGTTTCAAACAACTGTACAAAGGTGTAGGACCCGTAATATTAGGTTCTGCTCCATCAGGTACAATTTTGTATTAAAATATAGAATTATATATATTAGCAAAAAAAATTTTATTTAAAATAAATGAATATTGTTATTAGCTGCTATATTTTTTATCACTTATGAGGGAATAAAACAGTATTCACAACCATATATACCAGATCAGTATCACTCCTTTATACACATGATTGCGGCATCATCTTCTGAAGTAGTAAGTTATTGCAATATTAATCATTAGTAATATAATTGGAAAATTTTAACTTATTAAATTTTTGCTTAACATTAAATGATGTAAATATGTATTATTAGAAATAGCATTTTATATAAATTATATAATTTTAAAAGTATTACAAGTATTAAATATATCAAGGATTACTTAATTTCACTAGACTGCTTGCTTGGTTCGGGTACCAGTGGAAGTAATTAAGCAAAGAAAACAAGCGCTCTTATCAGACACACATCAGTTAAGATTAAAAACATTGTACCGCGGTTATGGAAGTACCGTTCTTCGGGATTTACCATTTGGCGTGATTCAGATGCCATTGTGGGAATATTTCAAGCTTTGTTGGACTCGACAAGTAGAGCGAGAGTGCAATCCTTTGGAAGGTGCAACGTGTGGGGCTGTATCGGGTAATAACTTGATGAAATAATTTTCTTTGAAAAGTTATGAAAAAAAACTTATTATGTGTATAATATTGGTTTTTCAGTTGCTATATCAGCTGCTTTAACAACCCCATTAGATGTCGCGAAGACAAGAATTATGTTGTCGAGCACTTCGGCGGAAAAAGAAGAAGTTAAAATATCTACAATGTTGAAAGATGTTTACAGAAATCATGGTGCTAAGGGGTAAGAATTGAGTAAAATATATATATCTCTCAGTCTAATCCTTAATATCAACTTATTTCCAATCTTTTAATAAAACAATTTTTTTTAGGCTGTTTGCAGGTTTTCTCCCGAGAGTAACCGGTTTTACTATTGGTGGTTTCATATTCTTTGGCGTTTACGAACAAGCCAGAGAATTTTGTATATCCTACTTTTCAAAATAGTCATTAATAGATTAACAAATTTGAAGTTAAATTATATTGATATCTCTAACAAAGATTTTATAAATACATTTTAGCAATTGAGCTTTTTTATTCAACATTTTCTGGGATCAATTTCAAAAGATTACAAGTTAACAAAATTGATTAAAGTAAAAATATTTTTTATTTAATTATTGTTAATATTCTGTCTAGTAAAATTAAAGATTAAATCTAATAACTATAAGCGATAATAGAGATATGATTGAGAGATGAAATATTACTTTTGATGACGAGAGATTAGTTTCTAAATTAAATGAAGATTTTGTATATTTAAGAATATTTTTTGTTATATATTGTGCAGCACTTAAATTATACATTTTTTACATACATATCTTGCACAACTTTCTGAAAATTTACTGTTTGTTCAGTATTTAATCCGGTTTTATAAATTTCCAATACTATGCTGATAATTAGCAACATTGCGATACAAAATTTTAAGCTAATTGAAAGTTATTAGACAAAATAATATCACATTGGTCTTTAACAATTACATTAAAATCTATTTTAATATTACATTATATTTATGTGTTACATTATATATAATCTCAGTGGGATAATTATCTGATGAAAAAATCGTATAACAATAGAAAATCAATACTGATCTTTTTAGATCACTGTACAACAATACCTTTTCTCAGGTTTTCTGCTTAAAACAATTGCTTCTTCCACTTGTTGTAAATTTTCTGGATTGGATACAAAATCTTGCACAATTTCGTCGAACAATTTGTCTGTAAGAAACAAGAAAAAGAAATGAAAAATAAATTTAGTTTTTTCCAAAAAAGGAAATATTTATTAATGATGCATCCTCACCTACATTCTCTCCCGTCTTACTGGATGTTATAAAAAGTTTAGTCTGTGTGCCCCTTGCATATTTTTCTACAGTATTTTGCAAATCTGGATCATCTGATACAAAACCTTCGTCGCATAAATCTTTTTTAGTAGCGCAAAGATATACTTTACAATTTTCCTCAATACTTCTGAGTTCTCTCACCCAATGCTTCGCCCTTTGGAATGTGCTAAACTTAGTAATGTCATAACATACTATAGCAGCTTTTGCACCACGATAGTATGTTCTAGTCATTGCATCATATCTAATAATTAAAATAATATTAACAACATATAATCTATATCATTTTCAAGTGTTTGAAAGTTTCAGAACAAAAGTATATATATACATATAATAATTTCTAATATACACTTACTTTTCACTACCCGCAGTATCCCATATTCCCATAACAAGAGACACTCCATTCACTTGTACTTGCTTCGCTGCAAACACAGTGCCTATTGTCTGCGGTATAATTTCAACTGCATTAATTTGTATATGATGCCCTCCCTTCCATTTAGAGACGATTCTCAGTGCAAATTATAATATTACTTTACAATTTTCTTTCCATAATGGCATAGACTAAGAGAAACAATGCGCCTTGTTAGTGCTCACAATTGACTAGGTCTATTCTTCTTAGCTGCATTAATAGATGCAAATAGGCTAAAGACGCCCATTAAAATATATATTACACATACTTTTCGTCAATGTGTCATCTCTTTCTCTTTCTTCAAAAATTTATATAATGTTAAATTTAAGCGAGCTAAAAAGAATAGTCCTATTATCGGGGAGGATTCTAAAAATTTTATAAAAAAAACTACCATTCTTCTGTTTCTTTTTGTGTGCTAATTGTTCCTTATCTCGAATCGTCTTTTCCTTCAGTGTAATAATATTCTAATCAAGGTACTTACGTTTTGATAGGGTCTGTTGCCGTTAAACGAATCATGTACGTATCGTTGCATAAGACTCGTCTTTCCCACCATTGCGTTACCCAGCAATACGATTTTTAAATCTACGCGATTCATGTTTACAGCATATGTATCACGAGGTTAGGCGTAAACCCACTTGTATCGACGCTGATTCAAGCGAAGGCTGAAGGACGCTGCTTGTCAGGCTATCGTTGATTGTTGATGAGTGACTAACTTTAAATGCGCGCGGAATGTAACTGAACCTAACTTTACATACGTAAACATGAAAATAATCCACTTGGCTAAATAAAATATTTTGTAAACTGTAAATATTTAATTTTTTCATTTTTTGTAAATATATATGTAAATATTTTTGAATATTAGATTATGTCGGCAAATGTTTCTCGATATTTACCAATTTATTTTCAGGATATTATTAAGTTGGCCGTCTCATGAATAAAGAAAATACGAAAGTTAAATATAAAAAAAATAAATAAATAATAATAATTTAACTTGAAACAAATAAAATAATGTACGCACAAAAATTTAATTACAAAAATAAGAATAATAACTGTATAAGAAAAATAAAGGTATAAATGTATAAATCTTGCTAAAAACGAAAATAAAGTGATCATATATAACATAAATATCTTTTCTTGAAAAATCAGATTATAATTAGTTGCGATAAACAATGATATTCCCAATCATGCTCGTGCATGCAGAAAACATTGTAAATTTTAAATTGCAGTTTGCCAAGAAAAGATATTTATGCTAAAATTATATTATTTGCTCTCTGCATTTGATAATTAGTTTTTACTATATACAGTAATAGAAATAGAGTATATAGAAATAATATATAGAAATAGTAAGAAATATTATATAAAAGATGAAGTCTTCCCTTTGCAAACAATTTAAAAGTTAGAAAATAGACTTTGCTATACAATAGATAAAAGTTTGTCAGATATATATTAACATGGATTACTGGCAGATATATACTACATGCATACTGGCAGTTATTAAAAAATAAAAACTGAAAAAAAAAGAGAATTAATTGAATGAATGCTATTTTTCACTTATATTAACAAATATTCAAATTTCTAAATACATGAAAAAAAATGCAGGAATTTTTAATTACGAATACTTGATGTTTAATAATCTGATTTATATATGTTTTATCAAAGCAAAAAGATATAAATAGATTTAAAACACAAACTTTTAAGTTTAATACATATATATATTTGTCTCTCTCACAATGGAGAACTAAGAATGTATCTATCATTCTTTTTTCAGTTACATTCTGTCGCGAAAAATCTAAGGATTAATTAATATAAATACTTTTAACAGAGTTAGATTAATACACTTAATAAATATACTTTTAACAGACATGTAACAAGTTCTTCAGAGATTGATATATAGATGTTTCTCATTTTAATAATTTATTTTGCCTTTCCTTGTGCGGCGACTGCAGCCATTGCTGCTTTAACCGTCTCTTCGTCACCCAAGAATTTCATAGAAACAACAGGCTTCAAGTTCTCATCCAATTCATACACAAATGGAATACCAGTCGGTAGATTCAATCCCATGATTTGATCATTGGTCATTTCTAAAAATCAGAAAGCATGTTTGTAAATTCGTACAATTACATTGATACAAATATATCAATAAAATTTCTTACGATCGAGATGTTTTACTATGCCGCGTAAACTGTTTCCATGGGCGGCTATTATAATTTTCTTGCCTTCCTTCAACTGAGGAATAATTGTATCGTTCCAATAAGGTAACGTTCTCTCGATTGTTAACTTGAGAGATTCAAACTTGGGGAATTCCTCAAGTTTAGGACCATCGGCATAACGCGGATCCTTTACTATTGTATCGTAATACTTGTGATCCGTTTCCATCGGTGGTGGTGGTACATCAAACGATCTCCGCCAGATTTGCACCTGCTCCTCGCCATACTTGGCAGCTGTCTCCGCTTTATTCATGCCGGTCAAGCCGCCATAATGTCGCTCATTTAAGCGCCATGTCTTTTGGACAGGTAGATCCTCTTGATTGATCTCCTTTAGGATTGCCTTGAGAGTTTCCTGCGCTCTCGTAAGCACCGATGTATGAGCTATATCGAACGTGAGGCCTGCATCTTTGAGAGCTTTTCCCGCAGACACAGCTTCGCTTTTACCTGCAAAAAGTTTCAAATGTCAGAACAATTTTTCCATGTGTGTATTTATGTACTGTGTGTGTATATAAAATATTTTATATTTCTAACAGTTTTCTCATGTCATAAAATATAGAAGATTTCAGAGGATATACAATCATATTGTCATTAATTCAAATTCATTCAATATCCGAAGCTCGTAAAATTGCGCGACCTTTTGCCCTTGAAAATGACGGATCAACCGGGCGAGATTCACACACCTTTGTCCGATAGATCGGCATCGTACCATCCGCAAAAGAGGTTCAACTTATTCCACTCGCTCTCACCGTGGCGAACCATAACAATCTTGTATTTCGACATGTTTTTTGTGAAATCGTGACTATTGCAGATAAGAAGATCTTGAGAGCGAAGTGTAAAAGTCGATACTCGTACTCAGCTGTTGAATTCTTCCCACTCCCGCTTCTCGAGAGAAGTCTAGCCTTTTTGAATTATTCTTACGACCGATTTATAGCGTTTTCGACTTGTCGGGTTCAATCGCTCCAAGGTAGTTTACTAGACGTTATTGACCAATCACAGTCATTCTTCAGAAGAATGTATGATTACATTCTTCAGAAGAATGGCTGCGATTGGTCATAACGTCTAGTAAACTACCTTGGAGCGATTAAATCCGACAAATCAAAAACGCTATTGGCTGCGGTCAGGGGCGCTGAAGATGCTTAGGAGCGTTTGATTAACCAATTAGGTTGAAGAAAATTTTACTCCTTTACCCTGATTGGTAAATCAAACGTTTTAAGTATATCCTATCATGTGGTATCCATTCCGATAAATCATTTTTTAGAGATCTTGCACGAAATATCACTAGCCAAACTCCCTAGAAAAGAAATCCTCCTATTGGATACCAGTCGCAATACGAATCCGGCAGAACAAGTTTCTGAACAGTCACCATTGATTGTCATCAACGTATTAATGCAATATGTGTGTGTGAAATATAACCTATAATTATGAATTTTATACATATAGATAACGAGAGATGTTAAATTTCAGACGTCGCACTTATAATATTAATTGAGATAAAAATTTATCGCATTCTTTATCTATAAAAATCATTACGCACCGAATAAAAAATTTTGTTACAATCTGTACTGTTTGACATTTGTGTTCAGCGTTTCGAGTGTTTGGTTAGAAAAAGTGTTCTTCGTGCACAGTCCTTTGAATGTCTAGTACAACATCTAATAAACATAATAAATATTGCGTAAAATAATTCATAGAAATATATATACTGGACATTATTTGAATCTCTACTGTCGAGCTCTGATGTGTAGCGTGATGTGACAGTAAAAATTCCATTGGACAAAATGCGGATATTCGCAGGTAGATTCGCGAGATTGCAAAATATAGTCGTTTCGTTCATAAAAAGGTGACTATCGATTATACATTTTTTTGATCATTCGAACATATTGGAATTATGGAGGTAATAAATACTAGAGATACTAGCGAATCACATACTTCTCTTTCCACAAAGCATCATGAGAATTCTATATTGGTTTCCTGCAATTGGCAGATTACCAATAATAAACAATTAATTGATGTTATCACCACTGCATCATTACAGCATGCACCTGCAAAGTAAGCGAATAAATTAGAACAAATTTATATATGTAATTTTCATACTATGGACTTTTAAAATAACAGAAGTAATATTGAAATGATTTATATATATATACATGTTTGTTTACAGAATAAACTGTGAAGATGTAGCTTTTCTGGATACCTGTATTGCTCTACAATCATCAAACTTTGAACCATGTATGTTGGATATCAAAGTAACAAACTGCCAAAAAGTAGCACGCATTGCTATTGTTTCTGAAGGCAATGTTCTAGAAATCTTTAAACAATATGGAGAATACGAAACAACGATACTTGCCGAATTTATAGATGAGTATGAAGAAAATGTTGTTTTTCTTGGAGACACAATGATACAACCTCCTACAACAGAAGCTAGTATTAAGGTAAGGTGATATATATTATTCATAATATTTTGTTTTGACATCATATAATAATTTTGTTTTTACCTTAGTTTACCAGAACAAAAAATAAAAGCTCTACTATGTGGATATATGGTATAAGACTGTTTTTGATAGACTCTACAAAAGAGGCAAAACCCAGTGCCTTCAACCCTGACATTATTCAGACTTTTCTCAGCAATTGCAATGGCAAGAAGAGTCAAGGGGCTGAAATGGCAATGAAATTACTTGGATGTTATAATAAGCAAGAAATTGTGAATGAAGAGCCATTTTACCCAAAAAAATTGGAATATTTTGCTTCAAACTCTGAGTATTCCGAAAGCAAAAATGGAATTGGAAGAAGAGATGATGAAGAAGACTGTTTAAACTGTGAAGATAACTATAAAAAGTCAAATTCTATTGAATGTAAAAGTGAAATTGAAAGGAGAGACAATGAAAATGAATGTTCAAATTGTGAAGATTATAAGAAACCAGATGGGAATATTGTAACTTGTATGAATAGTGAAGTGAAATCTATAAAAGAGGCAAAATCGGGTGCCTTCAATTACAAAAACTTTATTCAGACTTTTCTCAGTAATAGCAATGGCAACGTAAGTCAAGAGGCTGAAATGGCTTTAAAAATGCTTGGATATTATAATAAACAAAAAATTGTAAATAACGATGAATTATGCCAGGGAAATTTGAAAACTCTTGCTTCAACTCTTGCAAATTCAGAATATCTTGGATATGAAAGTACGAATGGAAAACCCAATAGTGAAAAAGAATGTTCAAATCATAGAGGTAAGCATGAAAGGTCAAATTCTTTTGAAAGCAGAAATATAAGACGAGCTAATAAAAAAGATTATCCAAACTGTGACGAAGATAAAAAATTTGATATAGATATTAAAACCTATATTGATAGTAAATTCTATGATATGGAGAATAAATTGATGCAAAGAATAGAGGAAATGGAAGTTAGTACCAATAAGAAATTGAATGCCATTTTGGAAAGACTTGAGACATTGAAATTATAGTGTAAATATTTTTTGTTAGGATTAATTTTTGATATTTAATAAAACAGAACATGAACACACACACACAAAGTAGAATCATAACAGGAGAGTAATATATTTGTTATAAATGCCTTTTGATTTTTATCTAAGGAAAAGAGATGAGCTATCTTAACAAAATATTTCATCTTTTTATGAGCTTTTTTTTTACTAGATAGAGATAAGTTTATATATTTTGTGTATATTATTATACCATCTGTACATCTTGTATCAAATCACATATAAAACATTGCATTTTTAGTTGGCCAAAACTTTTAATTTGTATGAATCCAACTTATCCTAAACTGTTTATGTAGCAATGAAAATTTGTAAACACTACTCCAAAAAAAACATTAATGTATACTTATATTATTGATATATAAATTTTATATTCATTAATTTATATAAATAAGTTTTCCAAAATGTGGTGAAACAAAATTACATATATAAATGGAAACAAAAATATTATTTCACATAATTTCTACATTAATTATTATATAATTATTTATATTATACAAAAGATATATAATGAGGTTTTTTTAAACACTCTAGAAATGATATGTGAACAAACAGTATAGGAAATAATGCAATTGCAATATAAATTAAAGAAATAATTGGCAGCATTTTAATAAAATAATTTTAGTATTTTTTTAATCAGCCTTGTCATTTTCCTGAGGAGGATCCCAAGAATGAAGTTGTTTTCGCCACAATTTCACCATACCATCCCAGCCTCTCCTACTGTATTTTATATATTTTGGTGGTGTCCTTGGATGTTCTCGTGTACGTTTCTCTCTGAAACAAAAATAAATAAATATGACATTTTAGGTTGGCACAAAATGCAATAAATCACATAGTAAACTCTTTGCTATCTTCATCTTTTATAAATTTAACTTAAACTATCTATGTAGAAATGGAAATTGCATCGTAACACTCACTTGGGGATTAGCTGAATGTATCTGTCGTATCCAATAGTGTTTTTGCCATAATCTATTTCCTTTTGTCTACGTGCTAATACAATCGGATCAGTTTCGAACTCTATGTGCTTTTTACTCTCTGACGAATTCGTGGTCGTGCTCGAGTCACTGGAATCACGTCTGGTACGAGATATCTTAGCATCTTCATTATCCATACTGTCTTGCCTCGTTCTTTTGCGCAGCGTATATGAATTCTCCGGCTTATTCTTTACATTGCCCTTGTACTCTACATATCTAATGTTGTCCTTATTTTTTCTATGCTCAGTTCGAGTATCGTCACTTTGTGCACTCGAATTTTCATAGTTTTGCGCGTTTCCGTAAACTTCTTCATTTATTTCGTCCTCATACCAAGGACTATTGTCTAAATCATTTCTTTCCACTTCATGTCTCGATTCGACAATTCCCTCATTATCCATACATATCACTATATCGAACAATTCGTCGTCCTCATTTATTTCCTTTTTTATTTCCACTGAAGAGTCACACGAAGGATTCATCTTAATGGATAATAACTAATTTTGCACTTCGATGAGCAAGAGGACTATCTAAAAAGATAAAAACATAACACTTTTTAAAAACAATCACTCTTGAATTTAATCACTTCGAAAATGCGATAACTTGTTCACTGTACACGTACAATTTTAGTCAAATATAACCTATTGTGCAGCCTCTGTTTCGCTTTGCAATTACGCGATATAAAACGCCTATTTACAATTCACTTTCATCAGCTGCCTCTGTTGATACTATTCATATAATTAAAGAATAAGAAAAAGAAAAATTCTCTCGTTATCGAACAAAGTGAAATTATACTTGTCAGTCTTCGAACATTTTCAATTCTCGTTCTCACTTCGCCCTGCGCGCCTTTTTGACTACTTGTAATTGTGTAATTAATTGCGATACATCGATGATCTCGATATCTCGATATTTCCTCTTCGATAAATTTCGAATACACTCGTGCGCGATTATATGAATTAGGCGAGTGAAAGATATATAAAATATAAAATTAATAAAATAAATCATTCGCAATTATAATATAATATATAATATATTAACACGGTATATATATATACAGGGTGAGGCATCTAAAACAGGCCACCTGAATAACTCCGTTGGTAAGCCGAATACAAAAAAATTGTTCAGACAAAAGTTGTATGTTTCAAGGGGGACATATGATGGTGTCATTAGTTTAATCTTGAAGAGCCACCCGAAGGTCACGTGAAGGTCAGCTCCAACTTTTTAAATGGGACACCTTATATGCGTTTGCATATTCTTGTAGCTCATCTCAAGAGCTTTCCAAAACACTACAATTATGTTAGTTTTCATTAAATACTTTCCAAGTTATGAGGCTTGAAATCATTTTTTAATTTTACATAAACCGTAAAATATCTTGTAAAATATTCATTTTTCGATTATTTTACCTTAATAATTTTATGTACAAAATAATGAGAAGAATCAATTGGTGTAAAGAAAACACATAATTGCTTCGAACAAAAAAATGTAATTTGCAATTAACAATTACATTTTTTTGTTCGAAGCAATTATGTGTTTTCTTTACACCAATTGATTCTTCTCATTATTTTGTACATAAAAGTATTAAGGTAAAATAATCGAAAAATGAATATTTTACAAGATATTTTACGGTTTATGTAAAATTAAAAAATGATTTCAAGCCTCATAACTTGGAAAGTATTTAATGAAAACTAACATAATTGTAGTGTTTTGGAAAGCTCTTGAGATGAGCTACAAGAATATGCAAACGCATATAAGGTGTCCCATTTAAAAAGTTGGAGCTGACCTTCACGTGACCTTCGGGTGGCTCTTCAAGATTAAACTAATGACACCATCATATGTCCCCCTTGAAACCATACAACTTTTGTCTGAACAATTTTTTTGTATTCGGCTTACCAACGGAGTTATTCAGGTGGCCTGTTTTAGATGCCTCACCCTGTATATATATATTCATGGAATTTTTTCTCTTATAAAACATCATGACATATCAAATATATTTTAATTATATACGTGCACATATAATCATTATTATACATCAATTATCGTAATTTTAATATTACTTAATATTAATTTTCAGAAATTTCTGCACTTAAAACAAGTTAAATATATATTCGAGTATTTTAAAGACAGAGAATGAAAAAAGTGTAAGAAAGGTTGGGTTAGGTTAGGTTGCATTAAAAGCATGTGCGATGGCTAACATCTGATGCACGTGACAAGTGTTGACACTCAAATCGAAACGAAAACACACATCGTTACCTGAAAAAATTTCTCCCGCGAATGTTGCGTATGATTAAATCAAGTTTGATTCAATCCGACTTTTGAGTAATTAAGATCCGAAGCCACACAAGCAAGTGGAAGAGGAAGAAAAAGAATGTCGAATGTGATCGTGCTAAGTGATTCGGACGAACCTGCGTCGCCCGCGTTTGTTGACAAATGCAACAAGAATGGATCTGAAATTAACGAAGAACATCGTTTCAACATTACAAGTGACTTCGACTTTCCGGAGGTACCGTTCTGTCGCGAGATCGCAGAAAACTCGACGTCGCAAAGCGAGGAGGATTCTCCCAATTTGAATGTTGACAATGGCTACAAGTATCCTGGACCATCGCATACCATGTCCGATTCTCACGACTCGGAAGATAATCGGGTCGAAAAGCCTTCGCGAAAAGCGACTACGCGTAAAAAAGATAAGACGACATTAAAGGAGGAACGACTGAGATGTCAACAAGCGCGAGCGAGAGAGAAGGCGTTGAAGGCGATCGAAAAGAAAAAGTCTAAAGACATAAAGCCCGGAGAATGCTTGAAATTTATGGAAGTTAATCTTGATCGAAATATTGCGTTTGCTTTTCGTACAGAAATTGAAAGCGCGTTGCAAAGTGCTGATATTAAAATTAACGTAACTACCGAGTTAATTCCAAACAGTATTACATGGCAAAGGAACATCGAAAAGAACTATGTCAGTGAAGATAATGAAGTGCATTCAAACAAAAGTGTACAGACAGAAGAATACGTTATCGTAATTTGGAACAATTATGAAGCAGTAAAACATGTGGCAGAAGGTACTGTCTGCACTTCCATCTCACGTATTAAGTCTCTGATTCCAAATTATAATATGACTCTGGTTATCTTTGGCATGGAAGAGTATTTCACGTATCGGAAGAAACAGAAAACGGATCAGAATTCTAAAAGTAAAGGATCGAGATATAACAGTAAAAGTAATCAGCATTTTGAAACATTCCCAACTATATCGAGACAGCAGTTGGAAATGTGCCTAACTGAAGTTCAGATAGTAGCCAAATGTAGCAGCAGATTAATTGAGAATGCACAGGATCTAGGTTTAATGGTGTATCAATATACAAAGTCTATTTCGGAAATACCATATAAATTACAGAAGAAGGAAAGTCAGGTAGATAAATTTGACTGGTATGTTATGGGAGACAATAAGAACACTGTGCGTGTGGACAAAGATGGAAATGGATTGAAGAGATTATGGCAGCAGCAGTTGTGCCAATTTAATTTAAGTAGCTTGGAAACATCAGAAGCGATATGTACAGTTTATCCTAGTCCAATGCAACTGATCAAGGTATCGTTAAATTTTACAATTAATATTTCATTTTACTATATTGCTAGAAAAAGAACTTTTCTTACTTTAATAAATATATAAGTACAATTTTTATTTTTATTCTTTTTTTTTAGGCTTATAGAAATTGTACACCTGACGAAGGCATGAATTTATTGAAAGACATACCAGTAAGTCTTAATCTTCCTTTATATATTGACCAATTAATATATAAAATAATAAAGTTATATTAAACATATATTTGAATTTTTTTTTCTTTATAATATATAGACAATTTCTGTATGATTTTTATCTTAATTATATCATCACATATACAAATATAGATTTAATTATTATATTTTATACACATACACATGATAAAATTTATATAAAATTATAAAATTTCTTCATATAAGCGCTAGTACTTTAAAAAGATAGTATAATTACTCACAATTTAATAATATAATAAAAAAAAAGTCTCGTTCTCTTTATAGATTAGGAGAGCAGTGGGACCTCTCACAGCTGTACGTAAAATCGGTCCTGAATTAAGTAAAAAGATATATGTGATGTTTACCTCGCAAAACGGAGATGCTCTATTAGGAACTGACATATAGGTAACTGCAAATTTTTATAGAAATTTTATTTATATTTATTTCAGTTATATCATTTCATTTGTGTAATTCTTGATACATTAAATATAAATCTATAATCTTAAAAAGTATTACATTCTCTATAGCTGAGATGTCAGTTCTGAGACATCTTTTCTACTACCTTAACTGTTATCATAATAATTTCAATACTTTAATGATAGATTTTTCAAAAGTCAGATTTCCATGTAATATTTAAAGCAGATAATATATAAGATAACTATATACATTTTCATTTTTAGTTTCTTTTTATTTTTCTCAAACATATACGAAAGAAACGACTATGTAAAAGAAATTAATTAAAAGAAATTGGCACAGTCTAGAGATACAATTTGTAAAATAGTGGCGTTTTTCTATTATTTAATATTATTTAGTTTTCGTTTTTTTCTTTCAAATTCTTTGGTTAATTTGGATAGCATGAACACTATATGTATATATGGAAGAATTTTATAATACTATTAAGCATGCATATAAATATAAACATAAATATATATATACATATATATGCATGTACATATATAATTGAATTAATAAATATATTTTTTAAGTTTTTATGTCTATATACGCACATGTCTTTTTTATACTATATGTATATACATAAAATATTGCACATGTAATACATAAAACCTTAAGATTGCATTATAATCTCATTGTAACAATAAAATACGTATTAATTATCACTATTAAAGCTTAGAGACCAGTGTGTGACTCATATAATAATGAATAATGTATTATTACTATAATATTATTGTATTATTCTTATAAAAATTATTATAATTAATATAATAGGAATGTATATATATATATATTTTAACATATTAATTATAAGTAATATATATATATATATATATATATATATATATATATATATTTAAAAAGATAACATAAACGCCTTGGAGAGATTTCACAACATATATATATATATATGTTGTGAAATCTCTTCAAAAGATTTATACTATCTTTTTAAAATAATATAGATGTTTTTTTATACGTTTTCTCGCAAATTGCACAATATATCATCAAGAACTTACGTCACATATCTTATGAAACAATTATGTATTTTATTGTATTTCATTGTTATCAAAAATGGACTGTTCTGAGTTGTATTTTTTATCGTGCTCCAGCTTCGTGTCGTCTAAAATATTGCAGTTGTCATCGTCGAGATTTGCAGATGACATCATATCAATCGTGGACACGTATTTACGTTCGATGATATTAGTCTTAATAGCGTCCTCGATTTCGAGTACGTTATCCATTAAAGAATCATCATAATTTATCGATGCTTTGGAAGATTGTGCTTGCACATATTTATGCTCGTCTTTCTCGAAAGTCAGAATTTTAGGTGTATTAACGTTTTCCGTAATCTTTGTTGTTACAACCATCTGTTGTTCACTTTTCTCGTTCTGTTGAGCAGGTTGAGAGCTTCTCTTCGCCAGAATGATCTTGGTATATTTTACAGCGGGTTGTATTAGTCGATTTTCTATCGGTACTCTGTTCTTCGTTGAGACGCCACTATTCTGAGATCGCGTTTGCAATATCAGCTGATTTAAATTTTGCATATTGGGACATATAACAGGTTTATTTGGCGTTTGCTTATCTTGCTTATTGCTAATTAAAACTACTTTAGTGGTGCTGCTTAATTTGGGTCTCTCCTGAGGTTCCTTAATCGATGTTGCTTGCGTTACTATCGGTATTTTGTCGATGTTATTTAAATTATCATCATCTTTGGCGAATATTATCGGTATATCCAGTATATTTCCCAGATCATCATCAATATCGTTTGTAACAATATTTTTCTTTTGAATATTTTGAACGACTTTCCCTTTTTGCAGTCTTTGTAAATTGTTGGCATTGACCGTGATCTTCGGCATCGTCTTCATCGACTTGTGAGAGAGCTTCAATTTGTTGGACAAAGGCAAAATGTTTCCAGAGTTTTGGCTGTTAAACGGAACTATTACTGATGAGGACGCGCTTCTGTTGTGAAGGGAATTCTCGACAATGACTATGTTACCGCACGATGTATTATGGGAATTGTCAGTATTGTTGGATGAGCCTCCTTGTCGTGGTAAATGTGTCGACTTGGACATCTCCAATAAGTGAGATTCACTGCTCATTCCCATTTCCTCCATCGCTATAAAATATAGATGTATGTATTTGCCTCAGATTCTCTCAGAAAAATATATAAGTATATATATATATATTATTAACATGCAAAAATATTCCAGAGACATTTCCAACACTATACCACGCAACACATTCACGTCTGACATATTAAATATATGAGTGTAAAACACTTTTATATATTTTTGATACTTAATCTGTGTTAAATATTTTTTATTAACAATTTTATATCTTTAGTTTAATTGTTCATTTTAATTGTTCATTAACATTTCATTTTGTGCATTGAAATGATATATTATTTTAACAATCTTATAATACTATTATTATTTTAATAATCTTATATAATTATATCAATAACATTAATATTAATTAAATGTGATGGGAGAGATAGAAATTTAAACTAAAAGAATTTTTATCTTATTAAAAACGAAAAATTCCAGCAAAAAAAATATAATATTAAGCAGTTCCTTTTACATCAAGGCCCTATTGTACTGAGTGCTTTTTTAAACCTGATATAATAAGCTTTTTTAAACCTGATATAATAAGTAAAGGCATTAATTAAACATCCCAAAACCAATTATGTTTTTGTTCACATATCTAAATTGATTAATGGTTTATATTTTATTCAATGGACGGGAATAATATAAGGTTGGGAATTAAACAAATTCGAATTATATATATATCACAAAAAAATATTTATTGAATACAAAATAAAAGGCAACCTGATATTGTATCTACAATATTCCTTTTTAATACGTACTTAAAGATCCACGATGATGCTTATCCACAAGTGTTAATAGCATTTAGGATATAATATGCATATATGTCTAAATATATTAACTATTTACATTCATGTTACCGATTAAGAGATAGATTGAAAATCCCCTTAGTTCCATGTATTTGAAATTTTTTATCTGAAGATAATTAAATAATTGAAAGTAATAGAAGCACATGGTCTTGTTAAACCCTTTTACTTACTTAAGCTAGAAAATTAAAGAAAATATATGAAGAGAGTTTCTACTAAATAAAATAAGTCTACTATCAAATTAATATTAAGCAGCTTTAGGAAAGAGGATATTTTGGTTTTATATAGGGAAAAATCATGATAAATGTGAGAGAGACTTGAGTGAATAAATACTTATAAATTCATAATCCGTATTATAAATTTAGAATCTATTTGTTATATATGATTCGTTTTCTTAATAATACACTAAAAGAATTTATTTTTAAAATATTTACACAATAATATTATATTAGATAAACGAAATCCATAAGGCTCTGAATATTACGAAATAAGACGAATAAAACTGAGCTAGTAAGAGTTAAGCACGTAAATAGCGTGTAAATAAAATAAAATTTCCAATGATCATTAAGCAAATTTATTAAGACATTTCGAGCATACTTCAGGCCATTTAGTTAAATAAATTTAAAAAATCGTACGATCGTCATTATATGATCGGAATAATGCGATTTTTTAAAATCACAGCAAACCTCTGGTGTTTTCTAATAGGTCCAGCTATTAGAAAAACAATATAATATACAATATATACAATGTGTTGCATTCCGTACATATTATAATATATTTTATATGTATGATTTTTTTGTTAATTTATTTAACTAAATAGCCCAAAATGTCTTAATTGCCTAATATAACTAGGCAGTTATATTAGGAATTTTATTTTATATCCACATTGTTTACTCACTTTGGTCTTATGAGCCCAATTTTATTTTTTTGCCTTATTTTGTAATATTATATTTAGTATTCTACTTTAACAGAAAAAAGTTATAAGCAATATAATCAGATATAAGTAATATAAGTATACATATGTGTATAGTTTAATATATATATATATATATATATATATATATATATATATATAGGGTGTTCTAAAAAGGTATGTCAAAAATTTAAGGAGATATTCCTCGCATCTGAAGGATGAAAAAATGTTATATAGATGTAGGTGCGGAAATGCTTATTTCAGGAGTTATGTTGAAAATATTGTAAAACCAAATGTAAATAAGCCTAATTAAACGATTGTTGTCTACAATAATTAATCCTAAATTTTTCCTTGTGTAAAAGTAATACAGCTAACAGTATTTTCAATATAATTCCTGAAATAAGCATTTCCGCACCTATGTCCATATAACATTTTTTCATCCTTCAGATGTAAGGAATATCTCCTGAAATTTTTGATATACCTTTTTAAAACATCCTGTGATATATGTGTATATGTGTATATATATATATATATATATATATATATATATATGTATATACACACACATATAGGTGATAACTTTTAACCCCTCTCTTTCCTATATATGTTGAAATTTGAAGTCTGTAAAATTTATCATAAAAAGATACTATTTAAATAAATTGTATGTAATACACAATTGTAATATATATATATATATATGTAAAAATATTTTATTACATAATATTTTAAAAAAAACTTCATAATAAATTATATTTTTTAATATTTCTTTCATGTGCTTCGTTTTAATGTTTATAATTTTATATACTAAATTATTAAAGATTATAAGAAACTGAGAGAATTTTTAGTCTATTCCTTTTAATTAATACAGTTATGTACTAGAATTACATGTAGTATCGCATAATTTTGAAAATTAAATAGTTTGTGCGTTTTATGTACAAGTGTAAAAATTTGGTATAAAAATTTATTATCGGTGTTATATATCTATATATAAATAAACTTTGCTGAAAGACAAAAAAAAGGAATGAAATTATAAAAAAATTATGAATTTATTAATCCTATACGATATTCATTATATGTAGATGTCACGCACTAAAGAAGTATCATAAACATGTAAATTTGCTTATTTGTGTTTGAAAAAATATAAATAGAAGTAAATTCTTAAAATTAATGGTTATATAAATGTAGCAAATATATTAATTATTCTCATATTATTAAGTGTATAGTGCCCATTTTGCTAAATATTCTTATTTGTATTTTAAAGTTACCAATGTTAAATGTGTATTATAAACTTTATATATATATATATATATATATATATATATATATGTATATATGTAAAAATATTTTATTATATAATTTTAGAAACTTTATAATAATTTATAATAAAATTATAATTTCTAAATTTTTTCCTTTCAATTTTCACTTTTATTTTAATGATACTCTAACAATACGCAGAATAAAAAATATCGTTTTATCTTTCGATCGTTTTTTTCTCTAATATGGTTTCATGATCACATGATAAATATATAAGTAATAAAAATCGCTAGAGAAGAACACCACTTTATAAGCAGATATCACTATATATGAATATTTGACTCTATAAGAATCAAAATTCTAAATAGACCCATAAAACAAATTGTAATATTAATTGTAATATTTGATATGATAGATCCATAAATTTTATATAGACTATAAATAAATATTTATCGCTATGTTTCAGATAAATTATTTAATAATTGATTAGATAATAATAATCTACCTTTTGCAGGAGTCGTTGTGGAGGATGTTATGCTACTCGCCAATGAATTGGTAGTCGTTAGTAGAATACTGGAAGCCGATGATACACGGGTGGAAGATGTACCACTCGTGAGCGCAATCGAACTCTTTCCACTTTGTAAAAGATTTGACAATGTGCCAGTTGTCGCACAGGCAGGTTTACTACTTCCCGCTATTTAATCGAGAAAGGAAGAATGTAAGTAATAAACACTTTCAGTTACTTTCCCCATATTCTAGCATAAACTAATTACAACATGTATTTTACCTGCGGTAGCTGTATTAACTCTAATTTGATTTCCTGCAGTAAAAACGTTCACTAATTTCGCGTCCCCACTCTTGTCAGCTACGTTGACTTGTCTATAATTATTCGACATTACATTCGAATAAGATTTGTTAGCAGACGCTATTTTCATCTTCGTAACATTCTGTAGTGGCACATTCGAAATGATCTTCGGTACTTTGATAGTCGCGGTCGCAGTTGCAGTTTTGGACATGTTAGTTGTTTTGGAAGGAGTGGTCGCAGATTGATTCACCGTAGTAGGTGCTAAACGTATCGGTCCTATCGGTGCTAAACTTGCTAGCGTACCTATATTGAGCGTTATGCCATTTTCTGCGTTAATATTTGTCTGTAATAAATGATATATAATTAATTAGTATTGCGATATTTGAAATGTATTACAATGCATTTATAAATATTTCAAGAAAGATTGCCTCGTTTTTTTCTTAGAATAGTCCAAGTGATATTTGCTAATCAAGTATTATTAATTATTTTAAATGTGTATATTATAAATTTTAGTTTTTGTATGATAATTACCTGTCCAGCAGGAAGCTTAGAAGTCTTCGGATGTTCTGCTAATTGATTTTTCTGATTGATCGTAGGTCGCTTCCGTTTCAAAGTGGAGATATGATTTGCGTGTTGTCCACTCACCTGCACAAGGTTAGACTGAGTACTGAAGGTACCAATTTTGGAAGGCGAATTTGTCGTCGTGTTTGTCGCAGCTGATGGCACAGAGGATACCGGTGTGTTTGGCCGGGATTTTTTCACGGTTGGCGAATTAGGTTCGCTTTCCATGGAACTACTCGTCGAGTTTCTTCGTTTATGAGATTCTTTTTTATTCTTGTTCTCGCAAACAGTTGGCATCGCGGATCGCAACGGTTGCGGTTGCAGTAGAATGCTACCGATAAAGTCGCCAATTTCGTCCAATATACATCTATCCACCATGCTCTGTGTGATACCCTCTAGTACTTTCTTGGACGTAGATATTCTGAGATAATCGTCGGCCGTACCTACGATCACTAGACTCGTCTCCACGAGCATCTTTTCCCGGAGATGCTCTAAATCATCTGGTCTAACGAGAGTGGCGTTTTGTCCGATAATAAACATAATAGGGCAGCGAATATCCATCAACATGTCGTCGGGTGTACCACGTTTTCCTTCGACCGTCGCGAAAGGAAATCCGATACAGATAACAGCGGTTACATGTTCCATTTGGGCAATCTACACCATGGAATAAGGAAAAATTAATAATAAGAAGAGAGAGAAAGAGTAAAATACATAAATGGAAAAGGGTAAAATAAACTTACCTGACAAGCAAGTGCTGCACCAGTATTGAAACCTACGAGGATGATGGATCTACCAGGACAATCGCTCCTAACATCTTGTATCTTGGCTCTCGTAGCTTGAACTAATTGATCAATGCATACCATCATGGTCATTCTGTTAGCTGCCAATCCCATTTGAGTATGAACAGTAGCAACCGTGCCTAACGATCCTAACTGCGTGATCCATTTATGTTGACGAGAAGAAACCATCGATGTGATACCAGAGGGTACTATTATCAAAATCGGATTTCCAGGCAGTTTCTTCTATAATCAATTATATTTGTCTTCATATATTAGAGCAATGTAATATAATATACATTAGTGATTAAATTATCATATTTACCAGTCGATTTCCGTTCAAACTCGGCGCAACTGGATCCCAAGATCGTTTCAAGAGCGATCCGAGTGTTTCCCATGTAATAGAACCTCCCCTAGCATTAATATTCGGTTGTACGGCAATCATTTTATCGATTAGCTGAGGAATTTTTGATCTCAAGGTCTGTAAGATATCGAGATAGATTGCCAAGTATTCTTGAGGGAGATGCTCAAACAATAAATTGTGCAGCCATTGAGCTAATCTCCAATCCCATCCAGTCGATGCTAACATTTCCCGAAATCGTCTTGCCGCGATATCGATGGATGTTCTTCGGAAGATGGGTTCCATTGTACTCTTAGCCTTGGCCAATCTCGCGAGTCTTTCTGAACTCAATATCCGAGTCACTTTGCTGAATATCCGATTTTGAACTGAAGACCATAAGGTTTTATTTATATTCTCCTCCCAATCCTCCTCCTTCTCAGGTCGTGCAAAACTTGCTAAACGTTGAAATTCGTCCATGAGATGTCGAGTTCTATTTAAATCAAAAAGTGGTATCGATGGTTCGCTGCCAATATCTTCCACATCAATTTCTTCATCCTTTCTATGTTTAAAATGTAAAAAATAATATAGTACAATAGTAGAACAATTTTATATTACATTACTTTTAAAGATTAATTTAATCTAGATATTATCGATAATCTTACTTTGTTGGAGTATTTTTTGAAAAAAATAACTTTTTTACAGGCTTGACATAATTGTTTTCTGGCTTCCAGTTCCAAGGTCGAGTATAACAATGATCTTTGAATATTACGTCAATGTCCATCTCACAATTTCCAGCAAGTTGATGTAAATATACTGTTATTTTATTTGAACTGTCATCAAACGTGTCAGCGGTTGGACTTGGTAGGCCAGAACTGCCTACAGAAGTAGATGGTGTCACAGGTACGGATGTTAACATTATGCTGTCTTCTATTTCCGATACTAAATTTATCAGCAGTGCTAAAATGAATAAATAAATTTTATTGACTTCTAAACATTTTATTGTATAATAATATCATATAAAAAAACTAATATACACATTGGTGGAACAGAATTCTCTGAAATGAATATTGTCAGTGATATATACTGTGTGCTAAAATAATCAGCTAACTGATATAAACTTATTACCACTATACCAAATAATTATATGTATTAATGCTAAAGTGCTATACGTATACATTTACACCTTTCTCTAAATTAAATTAAATGTAGATCTTTACACATCATCTGAAAACTAACCTATATCTACACCACGTTAGATAACGTTTAACGTTTTCTGAGTCATCAGTTTAATAATGGTCAATTGCTACCATTTGCTGCAATTTACTGAATATATTGCAGTTCGACATATTCTGGGACACTTCAATTGTATAACTTATATATGAATAAATCTTATTTAGTAGCACACGCAATTAAAACAGTAAAAATTAACATACATAAACATATGTATCTCTTTTCGAGTATCTCTAATCGACAATGATCGAATGATCCTTGCTTATGTGCGTAATATATATACATGAGCATGTATGCGAGTTTTATTACTTTATACGTGTACGTAAGCACATGTGGCCATTGTGAATTTACTCGCTTTAGCTGCACTTTTTTCATTTATAAAAGTGCACATAACTGAAACAATATCTTTACAATATCTTACACTTTCTAATCCATGATGTAAAAAGGAGGGGAGAATAAATAATGCAAGATATATAAAGAAATACAAGGGCATTTTTTGTAAAATAATATAAGAAAGATAGATGAAAATATTCACGTTTAACTGGAAAGGGGAAGAATACAGAGTACATATAGTCGAGATTTAATCGATTACGTTCGACTTGCATGACGATGTAATATCGACGTTTCATTTACCGGGTGTCCTAAATCCGACTGCACTTTCGCGTCGACGTTAGTCGTGTTATTACGATGAATTGTTTAAGTTTAATATTACGATTTATATCCTTTGTTTACAAAAAAGCGTGTGTTGATCTTAGTTTAAATGTGTAACGTGCTGAGATGACTAACGTACGCGGATTTAAGCTTTCGGCGGGAGTTTGGTTTGACGTTCTGCTACGTGTCTTTCTGGCAGTGCTATTCGTGTAAGTTGACATTTCGATAAGGAGTAATTATGTGTAATCATATGTAATAAAACACTTAAGCTGCTACACGTGTCATTAGACATATCATTAGACTAATGTTTACATGGGGGATGCAATTAATATTAATTAACAAAAATTGTCTGCAATTTTATGCATATTACATTACATCATTGCACAGGAACATTTGCTTTTGGAGTAATTAATATTTTTATTAATATAAGACATACATCATTAATATGATTATCAACAATTTTTCATTTTATCAATATTTTTTTCGAAAAATGAAAATCTGGTATATATATTGTATATTTATTTTTTTGACATACAATTGATAAGCAATTGCTTATTCTTTCTTATCATAGTAGTGTACTATTAATCAAGTGGAATATTTTGAATTTCATGACTTTTAGGGAGCTGGAAAAAGCAGAACCATTTACAAGAAAAATTCACGAAGATGAATTATGGTTGTACAAAAATCCAAGAACAGATTCTTTTGTGCCAACCACAGTATTATGGGTATATATATTTATAGATAATATATATATATATATATATATATATATATATATATTTATATTTATATATTAGAAATAATATATATTAAATAAAATACTTTTTTTTTAGCCTCTTGTATTTATGATGCCGATTATTGTTATTTGTTTCTTTTTTATAATGCACAAAGATAAAGTTGATCTTCAACAGTCAGTATTATCTGTAACATTAGCCCTAGGATTTAATGGTCTTATTACAGATATTTTGAAACTTATAGTAGGTATGTTAAATGATTAAAATTATTGATTATTTGAGAGAGAGTGAGAGAGAGAGAGAGAGAAAGAGAGAGTTGGATAGATCTATGTTAAATCAAATTAAAAAATTTTTTTAATATCAGTTACTTCATCATTCACTACTTTTAGGTCGTCCAAGGCCAGATTTCTTTTGGCGTTGTTTTCCAGATGGTCAAATAAATCCGGGATTTAAATGTACTGGAGATCCAATTGCTATTAGAGATGGAAAGAAGTCATTCCCAAGCGGACATTCCTCATGTATGTTAACACATCAGCAATAATACTTGCAAATATTTCCCTCTGTTTTGAATAAATTGATATTCATAATTATATTTGTATAAATGTATCAGTTAATTTGTTAAATAACATATTAAGATAACATACATTTCCTAATTAGGATGTTTTATTTACATAATTTATCTTCTAGTTGCGTTCGCTAGTTTTGGATTCATCTCCTTGTATCTAGCTGGAAAACTACATACATTTAGTCTGGCAGGAAAAGGACAATCATGGAGATTATGTATGTTCTTTCTACCATTCTGTATAGCTCTTACTATTGCATTAAGCAGAACCTGTGATTACCATCATCATTGGCAAGGTAAACTTTTATTTTTGAGATATTTTTGAACCTATCTCTTTATTGATATGCAATTTTTTTTTAGACGTAGCAGCAGGATCAATAATAGGTTATTGCTTAACATATATTTGCTACAGACATTATTATCCTCCGTTAGATTCACCATATTGTGATAAACCATACATTGCGCTTACGTTACAAATTCAATCAGACATCAAATATAAGAAGAGTGAAGAAATTAAGTGGATATAAAAGTGGAGTGTATTTCTATCTGTTTGTTGTATAAAAATATCTTAATCGGTATTTAACATTTTATTTAAACTCTTTCAAACCTGTATTTTATGTTGATATACAAAAGAGAATATATATATATCTCTATATCAGTGAAGAAACAGATTCTTAAATATATTGAAATATATTTGTATATATTACACATTTGTTTGTTTCGGTTCTATCATGTCTTTTTGTCTTTTTGTTTTATAAGATTTATAAGATAAGTTTTATAAGATTTTACTTTTTTCATTTTCTAGAAGAATTTCTATGCGCTTTTAATTTTTTCTTTCAATTATAGTTATATCAATATTAATTCTAAAATAATATAATAATTTTAATTATAGTATATGACAATAGTATTTATGACAAACGATCAATATAACAGATTTATTTTCCATAACTATGTGTTTAAATTTATGCAATCAAAATTGTAAAGGGAATTATCGTAAGTTGAAATAGGCGCCATTTTCGAGCTGTATTCGGAAATCGACTGGAAATAGAGCAGCTTCTGATCGACCAATCAGAATTCAAAGGAATTCTGCGTTCCTATTGGTCAACCGATTGCTCCTTTCCTCCGACGAGTAGGTTTCCGAACTCAATCTTGGAGCAGTCGATCGCATCGACGGTTCGCTGACGCATGCTCGCGTGCTTAATTGCACCCCAAGCCGTTTCTTCACGCCGTTTCCGACTGCAATCTCATCGCGTCGGCCAATCCTACTCTTGGCCATATCGAATTGCGCATTCTCGAGTAGCGTCTCGCGCGGCATCCGTGATCGCCCGTTTGTCCGTCCGTTTGTCCGTCTCTCCGATCGTTCGTTCGCTCGGCCCAGTTTGGCACTGTCTGTGCCACGAGCAAGTTCATGGATTGTGGTCTCGTGTCGACGAGGGAAGGAGATTGATATCTCATGCGATCTCGAGAGGAGATCCCGATACGTCATCGCAACGCGACGAAGAACAGAACCGAGAGACGCCCGCTGCTACCCAGGACATCGTGTGACATAGTTATTTGCGAGCTGTTGTGTTGGTGAAATGTTGTCCCGCCGACTTCCTGCGATGCATGGCGAGGACTCTTAGCAAGCGTCATCTGCCGTCATCTTCGTCTGTGCGCGATAAGCGGTTAAACACCTAGGACGTGTTCGGATCGCCCATCCTCTCGACGTGCTCGGAGCCTCTCTCGGCGGTCGGCCATTCTTGAGAGGGACTCACGAACACACATAATTGTCTGTCTCCTGTACAAGAGCCACACGCCGACTTGGTGCGAAACGCGTACGAGCCAGCGGCCAGAAGTTGCCGTAAGTTGCACGGCGGACGAGTTGTCATACGAGTGAGATGATCAACATGGAAACGGACAAGATTATCGACGACACGAACACGAGTCAGCAGGTGAGAGTGACTAGGCAATCTAGGTGTCCGCGACGTTTTCCCCTCGTTTGCGAAAAGAAAAAAAAAACTATCGCCATCTTGTGCCTCCCCGCGACCGACCGACCGAACGAATCGCCCGTCCGTTGACTCTTCCCTGCACGTGTTCTACCTCCGAGATATTCGAGGTGAAATTTGAATTATCGGAGCGTCGCGCGCGATTGTCCCTTGTATCGAAGAAAGAGAGAGGAGAGAGATTTAGATAACGAGATGAGTTTCGAGCGGACTCGAGTACACCTTGAGCACCTGTTTACGCCTGTCAACGTGTGACATTTGTCTAAATCGTTTCACATCACGATCTCCACTTTCGTGGTGAAATTACTGTCAGGGTTGTAATAGAAATTCGCGATTGACAAGCGCGTTTATTAATCCTTGAGATGTTGAATCTTTCAATTCTAACATCTACTTCACACATTTCCCTTCAAGTGTAGAGAAAAAATGAAGTAAATGAAATAAACGGACTCGTGTCTGGATGTTTACGTGTCGATCGACTTGAAGGACGACGTGAGGTTTAGTTGTCATCTCACGTGTAACGGCTACTGCAAGCGCGGATGCAAATTGCGAATCTTCGCAAAAACTCGCGTTCTCTTCCCTCTCGCTTTCTCAGGGTTTTTTCATGTAAATCGGCAATGCTTGACGCGACGCCTTTTACAGATCGTACGATCGTATGATATGCGGATGACGTATGTACATTAGGTGTTATAATAGATGCCTTGACATTCATTAAAACGACTTCATTTCGTTATATCTATAGATCGCGATACCGATCGCATAAGGAAAAATAGCCAATCGTGCTTCGTTAAATGACTAACCGCGGATGATTATTTATATCCAGATTATTGCTCAATCATTATCAGATTAAAGGTTCTTATCGGTTCTTATCGAAGAGGGATTCACGGAAAGATGAAAATTTTCAATCGCACTTTTTACGTTCGACTTTTAATCTTCCTCCCCTAAGATTTAATCGCGCGTCCGTATCTTACATGAAACGTGGGGAGAAATAGCAATAATATAGAATAAATCTAATAAAATGTCTCGCGAGTGACACATGTCTGATTAGCTAGAATCCGATTATCTCGAGCGCGCTACACAATCAATGTTTTAGCTCTACCCCTTCTTGTCTCTCGAGAGGTCTAATAACGCCCCTCCTGTCCTCCTCGATTCGATCCGTCATGACTTTTGACTTCGTCCATCGCTCCCTTATCTGCCTTTTTCACTTTCCTGGAAAAAAGGTGTCGATAATATCAAGAAAGTCTTGATATAGCTCCGACTCATGTTAAGTTGATCGTCTTGTCTTATACAAGGATAGAAACACTTCTCGAGTCTTGTTGTACAAAGGCAATATGCAGTCTCCCTTACTTCATTAATTTTAATCTGTCTATTATTTAAGGAAACATTTAATGAAAAGCAGACATATACGGATAATTAATTCTGCCTTCTGAGCTTTTTATTAAACATTTTTTTATTTCTTTATTTTTTATCTCTTTCATTCTAATTTAATGTGACAATAATGACAGATATATATGCATATGTATATTGTTATTGTCACATTAAATTAGAATGAAAAGAGATAAAAAAGAAATAAAAAAATGTTTAATAAATAAATAAATATATATATATATATATATATATATATATTTATTTATTTATTTTATTAAACATTTTTTTATTTCTTTATTTGTTATCTCTTTTATATATATATATATATATATATATATATATAATAAAATATATATATATATATGTCGATTATTTCTTATTTTATTTATTTCCCAAAGTTTACTTGTTTCTGTTTACTTGCACATTTAGATCCTAACGTGCGCATAACGAACATTAGATTAATCAGCAATTCAATCGTTCGCAATTAATCTATATGCAATCCACAATGCATCTCTGTGAGTGTATGTATGTGATAGTTTTGCGAGCGTGTGGACTCTTATCAACTGTGCACAATAATAGTCGTTATACATCGTAATTACATACGTTTGTTGCAACACGGCGCACCGGAAATGCACCTACGACTTCTTATCCCGTCCTCGGACGATGGTCCCTCCTACGCTCATTGTGCTCATAAGTCATGTATCATTCTGAATGTATTACATACGTTCGTATATCTTCCTGTATTGGAAAATACGTGTGAAAATCTTTATTTTACGAATCTTAAAGAAAGGATATAAATACAATTTAATTTTATATAATATACAAATATATATATTATGTATAAATTTTTATTTAAAATTTTGTAAAATTGTATCCAATACATTTTATCCAATTCTCTTCTCTCTCCTCTCTATATCTATATTTATGATTATGAAAACAGATCGAATATCACATATGACTTTCGTTTCAACATAACTAGATCTTTTTGTGTAATTAAAAAATATATTTTCTAAAATATATAAATTAATAAAAGACATTTGCGATATTTTAACATGTTAATTTTTAATCTCAATTAACTCGATTCCTCTACTTATGATAGATTAGCACATATGATTTAGACTAGCACATTTGTAATTTCCGCACATTTCTCAATGATGGATAACGCTATTTTAATAGAGAATACCAGCGGACAGGCTTTCAAACGTCAGTCTGTCGATAATAGAGATAAAAAGAGAGAGAGGGAGAGAGAAACAGATTGCGATCCTTGAGCGAGAAGGTCGCGCGAATTTACCTACGTCAATATTCACGGATTCGGATATCATTACTCTGGAGTATTAAAAACGCTCGCTGTAACAAGCAAATATTTCAAATTGAATGCTTCCGTAATCTTACTGATGAAATATATATATATATATATATATATATATATATATATATATATATATCCATTCTCTACTATGGATAAATTACATGGCATTAATCAATATAAAAATGGAAAGCTATACAGATAGTGTATCAGAGAACTTATTTTATTTATCAATGAAATTAATATTGTGTTTATCGTAATTTTTGAAAGAATTTTTCAAGGTAATTTATCGTACAAGGAGAAAATACGCGCGCGCATGCATACGTGTTTGTAATAAAATATTATTATTCTAGTAATAATGTACATAGTTATGCAACACATAGTGCCATTTCAAAAACTGATTCTGAAACTTTATACAACTACCTTTTAAAAAGATTTTGCTCCATTGATACCATTACTTTATACAAAATTTTTTCTTCTAAAATTTTATTTATATCGTAGCATATCTTTTATATTAGACAATTATTAAATATTAAAATATTAAAAAATATAATAATATTATACAATTATATTTAATATAATAGTATATAATTAATATATTAAAAATGAAAATTAAAACTAAATATTAAAAATTAAAATCGTAAAATTAAAATCGACTCCAAAAATAGACTCCAAAAAGTTTACTTTTTTAGTAATATAATTAACTCCGAAAAGCATTCTATTCTGAATTATAATAACGCCGTTTATACTCGATGTTAATGAACTTTACTCTACGTGAGAAGGACGAGAATAAGCGTCGAAAAAAGCGCGTTCATGATAACGGTAGTGGACCATCCACCGTTTCGCGAGTGGAGCGGATTTAGATTTTTACCTTGTCCGTATCCATCATCGCTGTTACCGAGACGGAAATCCATTTGCATCTCACAATCGGTGAGAGAAAATGAAATAAATAATAAGGAAGTGCGCACACATGCGCGCGCGCGTGTATGTGTGTAAATGTGTAATGGATATAAATTCTCGCCCTTCCGAGACTTTTGCGTAATGACGTGCGCGTGTAAATCCGCGTGCGCGAGCAATGTCAAGCGGGAGGTGCCTTTCCTTTTTAGGCGTCGCCACAACGTTTCGGTTTCGTTGCCCGAGATAAAAGAGACACTGCGAAACATGGTATCTGACCCTGTAGTCGTGGGATCGGCACAGCGAGAATATCGATTCTTTGTCCGTAATAAATAACACCTCTCTGTTTTCCTCCTCGAGTGATTTTCGCAATCTAAGTAAACATTTTCAAGTTGATTACATATACTCCTGGACAAAATTAACGCATAATTTTTTTTTTCACTTTTTCTTTAAAATTTAAATATCAGCTTTTAAAGAAAAAGTGAAAAAAGATTATGCGTTAATTTTGTCGAGGAATATATATCTCTTTTCCGGATTGGAAGATTTGCTTTTAAATTACTTAATTTTTGAGTCTGATTGTAAAACTGTAAATTTTTAGGGATAATTATTTTTGAGATTTTTTAGAATATCTCTTGGGTTTTTTCCTTTTACAAAAGATGTCGAAAGAATTTTTGAAATTGATGATATCTGACTTCGAGATTTCACAGATATTTGTGCAATGTGTCAGAGAAAGAGAGAGAGGGGAGTCCATTGTTAATTTTAATGTTCTCTTTACGCTTTCTAACGTCACGATCTCCGGCGGTCGCTTCTCTTAAACCTTCAGAAGTTGTCGACCTCTTTGTGCCAGAATAGATGAGTGAATTCGCAAAGCAAAAACTTGTTTCACGATTCATTCTGCGAAATCGTACATTTTGGTCTTGCGACACTACTTCTCTTGTAAACGCATTCAAAGCATCAAAAGAACGATCAAGTTTCTCTGAAATAAACCCATGATTGCCGCAATCTATTTAAAATATACCGAGAATATAAACATAATATGCGTCATTCAACATTTAAAAAAATTGAAAAATAGTATAGTTACATAAAACAAAATAATATTTGCAGATTTCATTTTAATTGCAATGTGCAAGATATTAAATAATAGTGTGATTCGTGGAAATTTTTGGTTAAAATTGAAATATATCTTCTTGAAAGATATACTGACGTGTAAATATTTTCTGAACTATAAATAACCGAAAAGAGAGAGAGAGAGAGAGAGAGAGAGAGAGAGAGAGAGAGAGAGAGAGAGAGAGAGAGAGAGAGAGAGAAGGATGCAGATATAATTAACAAATATAATTAATTTTTTATTATTTTTGGATATATTTTGAAAATTAACATTTTTTGAAGAGGAAAGCGATTCGCGTCACATTTATCAAGAATATTATACAAAAATGATTTGGTGACAAAAATGATTCTATTCGATAAAAGAGAGAAATCAATCATATCATCAGTCTAATCAGTCATCGTTCGGACACCCGGTATATGTATTGCTCGCTTTAGCCGTGGCAACAGGCGCATGAGGACGACATCCAGGAAGACAAAAGAATCAGGAGAGCGTAGATTCGACACGAGTTCGCGATACCGTTAACCGGGAGCACTCGAAGCGTTTTCAGGTGATTGCGTCGCGCGCGCACCGCTAGACTCGTCTCTCTTCGTGTTACAATAACACAAGGGACAACTACCACGAGGCAGTCTGCCTTTCGATAGGGGATCGCCATACAATAGATCGCGATCATAATGTACCATATAGTGTAGTTCTTGTAACATCAAAGTATTTATTTTTCAAACGATTTTTCGAAAAGATTTTCAATACTGACTTTAATTTAATTTATGTACAACTCTTTAATTTAAAGATATATTTCGGTTATAAAGATGTAATGTCTTATGGTATTTTATTGTTTCTTTTTAGGAGAAAGGGGCATGCATTTTTTGCTCGAAGATAATAGAGAAAATTGCCACGGAATTCGAGATTTTATTAAATAATGATTATCTTATATATATATATGCTTTTCGATACATGTATCGAGTTGTCTTTAAAGACGTAAAGTTGCTGTTTATTTATCAATCTCTAGCCGTAAAGTTGCTGTTTGTTTATCATTCTTTAGCCGTTTTTGTAATGAAGAGATTTTATAGTCTTCATTAATGAGTATTTAACACGATATGAGTCTTTTATGATGGTTTTCACTTCCTGGGGTAGGGGAGACGCCGTAGCAAGTAGGTCAGACGCGAAATATACGATTTCGCAGACTACAAATCGTTGCTGGTCTTAGAGTATAAAACGGGATTTTCCTGCATATCTCATCTGACACACTTCTACTGTATATGACATACGGCTTTATTACAGATAAAGAAACATTCAATAAGGTATTTTAGAATCGTTCCGGAATAGCACACGTATAATAGTATATCGGTTCTTATGAAATTTTAAATCAATCTCGATAAAAATGTCGACGGCATCCTTTTTTCATAACTTTTTTAAGCAATTGGATCTTAAAATTCAATTAAGAATCTAGAATGTATTTCATTATTTATTTCGTTGTCCTCGTTTAATTCAAGCATAAAACCTTTCATTTTCGGAGATAATAATTCGAAAGATATCGAAAGCACTTTCGCTGGCAAAGAATCAGAAATTTTATTCAGAATAGGTATTTTTCGCCGATTCTTAAACATTTTGTGGAGACTGTTACGATAGACAAAGATGAGAACGCTAAAATCGACGCGTCATTTGTATAGTTTTTCCTCTTTTTTTTGACAATAAATATTCGCTCTCAATTGTGTGTGCGTTGAGCATCCTTCTGACGTGGCATTCCCTGTTGCATTTGCGGATGCACTTTCTCCGCTCGCGCAAATATAATCTATCATTTATAAAAATATCGCCCACTTGTGATTTCGCCGTATATATCTATGTATATATCTATGTATACTTCTCGATTCAGTGATAAATTCATCGCTATTCTGTTAATAAGATTCGTTACAGGGGGAAAATTATGTAAATTTACGTGGGATGATAAACACCGATAATGTTTTTTTTTGCTCAATCGACTGCGAAAGGCTTTTCGAGTGTTAGGAGGAAAGAAAATTAATGCATAAATTAAAGTAGTATAAATTAAAAAAAAAGAATTAATGTGTAATATTAAAAAAAATCAGATATACATTAAAGAAATAAATTCATAATCTAGTGGTATATAATGAATATTTCAATAAAATAAAATTATTTTTAGCAATATTCCTAGCAATTTGACGCTAAATGTGGTATCCTTAAAATTAGATTAGCACAATAGTGTATTATTCAAATTCATATTTATTTAAATTATCTGATCTAATCGAATCGAATTCGAGTATAAGGACGATAAACTCTGATAGGCAAAATTTTGATAAGAAGTTTAAAGTTGCAAAAGAAAGAAACAATATTTTCTATCATATACATTTTTAATATAAAATTTGTGTATATAATATATAATTTTTTATATATATTTATATATATTTATATATTAAATTATATATTATATATATTTAATTTTTTTCTATATATATTTATATATTTTATTATTTTTTATTTATATTATTTTATATTTATTATTTTTATATTTCACCAAAATATATATAATATTTTTAATATATAATTTTTTAAAATACAATACACGTTATATATTTATGTTGTTAATTTGCTTTCTTTTTTTATTTGAATAGAAAACACTTTGAACGAAAAATATTATAATAGAAAGGATCTCAATAAAGTGGGGACTAGGTTTGATCAATACGTGTTCTTACATTCTATTCTTATCTATATCGAAGAATGTTTTTGATGATATCCCTTGTGGCTAACATTATCGGACATCGACAAGTATCGACAATAAGGATAATATAAATAGTGAAAGTGCAAAGTGTTGTGACACTGCTTTCCTTCACGAAAAGTGCATCTTATGCGCACTTACGCCATATGCCTGAATTTCTGTAAAATTCGATTAGTCATACTTGAATAGCATACGTCAACAATTTTAATACCACGTGACAACTGCATAAATTTACTTCGCATTCTGTTGGCGCTACACTATTTGCTCATATAATCGTATTTACATTTATGAATCGACTACATTTCAATTAAAATTTATAATAAAATTTTAAAATTTTTATCGAGGTGATTTCTCGCTAAATTTGGAATATTCGTGCGTTGCTTGAAATGTGATCATCGACGATTACGATATTAACGAAGAGTTGCTCGATATAAATCAGATGAAATGTAAAACGAATTAATTTATAAGAGTCCCGTATGAGATACGAGAGGTCAAGAACCCAATACTTTGTTCTGTCTCAAGAGACGTTCGTGCTTCTAGCAAATATATGAACTTTACGCTTATTTATTAAATCGCTTTATAAAGTCGACGCGTACTTTTTTGCAGAATTTTAAAATATAGTCTACTTTGTTTTTTGATCATTATAACTTTTCACTATAATATGTCTTTCCTTATACTTGAAAATGTTTCTAAATAATATATCTATTTTAGAATTTGTCTTTGATCGGTTGGATGAAAGCTGGATAAGCTATCTAATGATTTTTGCGCTATCTGAGTGGCGTATTGTGACTTTCCAGGTTTATCTAAATGTATCGTCATTTCGAGTGAGATAAATGAGATTAAAAAAATGAGACGTTGACAAGAAATCGATTATCTTTATTTGTTCAAGTGGAAAAGGGGAAGCAATTAACGTATATAATTAAAAATTTTTATTTTGCATTTTCTCGTTTGTACTATCGACAATATTGCTAATTTATGTGAAAAAATAAAGTTAAAAGCGACTCTCACTTCTATATTCAATTATCTATATTTCTCACTAGCGCATTTTTTTCTACATGCATAAATTATAGATTAACTGATTTAATTAGTGGGATAAAATGCAAATATTTTTGTTTTAAATAAAATATTTGTTTTATTTTTTAAATTTATATTTTATATTATTTTTTATATTATTTATATTATTTATATTATTTTTGTTAAGAATATCAGGTTATGCAGTTGACTAAGTAATTGTATTGCATATATAATGCATACAAATTTCATTTGCACAATAACTTCAATATCTTGAGTATTTTTCTCTTGGAAATTGCGTATTTGAGCGCGAACGCTTCACACAATTTCCATCCAATGCATGCCGTTTAGGCGATTAATCGAAAACAACAATGTATATACTGATACGATAATGCACATTATATGTCGTGATATTTTTAGTTACATTTATTTGCGTTCCGATTACTCGGAATATCGGTAACACAGTAAGAATAAATATTGTTATATGCACATATGGAAGATATTACTAAAGGAATTCAAATATATGATACATTTTCACGATCCATAAATAATAAATGAATATATGATAAATAAATGTATGATATATAATAAATGAATGTGATAATAAATAATAATAAGTAATCAATCGTTTTCGTCTTTATTAAATAATAATAAGTAATAAATCGAATTTCGTCTTTATTTTAATTTATTGTTGATAATGAGAAAGAGATATTATCATGCAAATTACATTTTAATCTCTCATAAAACGCGATTGCGATATACAATCAAAATTTTATTTTAAATTACATAATATATGAAAAAAAACGTATATGAAATTGTTAATAAATATTCTGTTACAGTATCCAATGACGATATTGTACGATCCAAGTTGCAAAAAGGAACCATCTACAGGAGTAACCACACAATATGGACAGGAAAAAGAAATTTGTATGAAGCTATTCGAAAGATGGAGCGAACCGGAACAAGTGCACTTTGTCGAACAGCTGTTAGCGCGAATGTGTCACTATCAACATGGACACATCAACGCGTATCTTAAACCGATGCTACAGAGAGATTTTATCTCTCTTTTGCCAAGTAAATTTTTACGCTTTGTCTCCAAAATTTTATATTTATAATTATATTTCGATTAACAATATTGAATATTTTACAGAAAAAGGATTGGACCATGTTGCAGAAAGTATTCTTTCATACTTAGATGCTAAATCACTTGTTTCTGCAGAGTTGGTATGCAAGGAATGGCATAGAGTAATTAGCGAAGGAATGCTTTGGAAAAAGTTGATTGAACGCAAAGTTCGGACGGATTCAGTTTGGAGAGGATTAGCTGAAAGAAGAGGATGGTGAGCAAGATTTATGAAACATAAAATTTAAAACTCTCGGCGATGATAAATATATATACGCGTAGAGCACTTTTACGAATCGTATGATAAACGTATAAATATATTTCTTTACATTTTTCTATATATCTTTTATAATTTCGCTTTCAGGATACAATATCTTTTTAAACCGAAACCGGGCGAGACATTTCCCAATCACAATTTTTATAGATCTCTTTATCCAAAAATTGTTAAAGATATTGAGAGCATAGAAAACAATTGGAGAATGGGTCGATTCAATCTTCAAAGAATTAATTGTCGCAGCGAGAATTCGAAAGGTGTTTACTGTCTACAATACGACGATCAGAAGATAGTTTCCGGACTTCGTGATAATACGATTAAAATCTGGGATAGAAATACTTTACAATGCATTAAGGTGTTAACGGGACATACAGGTTCTGTGTTGTGTTTGCAATACGATGATAAGGCTATAATATCTGGTTCCTCGGATAGCACTGTAAGAGTTTGGGATGCTAATACAGGCGAAATGGTTAATACGCTAATTCATCATTGTGAGGCAGTGTTGCATCTTAGATTTAACAATGGCATGATGGTTACATGCTCGAAGGTCAGTAGAATAAATAATAGATTTTTATATATTTTTTTAAATTTTATAATTAAATTATATATTTATTGATAATAATTATTATTCACAGGATCGTTCAATAGCGGTTTGGGATATGACGTCACAGACGGAGATTGCATTGAGAAGAGTTTTAGTGGGACATAGGGCAGCAGTGAATGTGGTTGATTTTGATGAGAAATACATAGTTTCTGCTAGTGGTGATAGGACTATTAAAGTATGGAATACATCTAATTGCGAATTCGTGCGAACGTTGAATGGACATAAGCGCGGTATAGCTTGTTTGCAATATAGGGATCGCTTAGTAGTTAGTGGTAGCAGTGATAATACCATACGACTGTGGGATATCGAATGTGGGGCATGTCTACGTGTTTTAGAAGGACACGAGGAACTAGTGAGATGTATTCGATTTGATAGTAAACACATTGTTAGTGGTGCTTATGATGGGTACGTATATAAAAATCTTACATCCTGAATTTAATTTTGTTTTGAATAATGTGGAATCAGCAATCCTTTTAGCAATTGTGTAGAAAATTTATGATGTTTACATATATACTCGAAGATTTTTATTTTTATAATTCTTATTTTTCTCTTTATATAGAAAAAATTAATAAATTTTATTTATAATACATTTTTCATATATATAAAAATATTTTCAATAATTTTATATTATGAACATTATTTGACATTATTTGACATAATTTTTCAAACATGATAAGAAAATGATATTGTATTATTTAATTTATATTTATTATCGTGTGTTACAGTAAAATTAAAGTTTGGGATTTAGTAGCAGCTTTAGATCCTCGTGCTGTTGCTAGTACACTATGTTTACGTACCTTAGTGGTAAGACATCTTTTTATGTATTTTGTGTATATATACATAAAATATATATATATATATATATATAATATAATATTATATTATATTATATTATATTATATTATATTATATTATATTATATTCATATTAGTAATATTTGTATTAAATTCTGAACAATTGTATTTTTATAGGAGCATACTGGACGCGTATTTCGCCTTCAGTTTGATGAGTTCCAAATCGTCTCATCCTCTCATGATGATACAATACTTATTTGGGATTTTCTTAATTATAATCCATCAAGTGGAAGTGTATGCAGTGGACGCTTACCAATGGATGGAGCGCCAACTCAAGCTGATACTAGATCTCCTTCCCGTAATACATAATAGATTTCCTTTAATTTTGCTATTAATATGGCTTTTAATGTATGTTAATTATTAATATGGCTTTTAATGTATGTTAATTATTAAACAAAAAATATTAAAAATACTTTTCTTAATAAAAATACTTTTCTTATTTATAGCATTTGAGTGACGCTATTTGAGAGTCAATATGGAGATTCTTTTAATGTGATATAATTGTAAGTATATTATATAAATTATTTATTATTCATTAAAAAACTTAGAAACATTTAATATGGATAACTGTACCATTAAAGAAATGTGTTAAAAGCGAATCATAAATCTTGCAAAATTTTATATTTTAGACAAGTGGTTAGTGAGTGAATTCAATGTGTTCACGATAATGTACACAAAGATTGAAATATTCAATGATGAGTGTCCAGTGTGAACGACAATTAAATAATCACAGTGACATCTGAAGGAAAAACTTGATTGGTCAATGACTTTAATTTATAGTTTGCTGGAACAACAAAAGAAATTTCCCAAAAAATAGGGAAGTAAAACCGACTGATCCTTCCTGTGTGAAACTATAAATTATAATTTATATATGTGCTTTTGACGCACTATGTTCAGGAACGAACAATATGTTAAAAAAGCCACATAAATACATCCCATGGATGTAAATGATGATTGTCGTCGTTTGCTTTGGTCATATCTGGAATTCTTCTACGCTCTGTGACATGATAGAAGTCGAGACCATTTTCCTAAGGTAAAGACAAAAAAAAAGAAAAAGAAAAAAAGAAAGACTTATAATACATAATAAATGAAGCGTTTTTAAGGAGGCTGGATATTATATATTTAATAAAATGTTAGATGTGTTATAGTAAATTAATTTTTTTATATAATTAATTTATAAAAAGTAAGAAAATATTGTAAAATGTTTGATTGGAGTACTTATTTTGTGTGAATGTGTAAGAGAAAATTGTTAAACGGGAAGATTATTGCACCATCTTTGGCGAATAATAGCAAACTACTACATATATCTATGTTTAGAATTGCAAACAATCATTAATTGTAAATGTATAATAATTTTAGTAGATATTTTCAATCTTTGTGAAGCTTGCGTTATTTAAAAAAGGAGTGAGGAACCAACTATCTTTGCACAGCCGTTTGATACAATATCATTTGCATTTAAATATAAAAATCATTACATCAGAATGTAAATATTATTATTATTATTATTATTATTAATATTATTATTATTATTATTATTATTATTATTATTATTATTATTATTATTATTATTATTATTCTCATACAAAGACAAATGTAGTGTTTGGTTCTAAAACAGCTACTAAAAAAGAAAGAAAATCTATTATATCTTAACTATTGATCTCGTTTTAGATCATTTTATTCACATTTTTGTATAATATTTTCGTTGTTATATCTCTCTAATTGTCAATTTATTGAAAATATGTATGATAAATATTATTTCTCATTCTGATAATATTAAATTTTAATGATTTGGTATTTCATTAAAATTTCAAAAAATATTCTTTAAATTTCTTTAAATTTAACAAATATGCAATTAAGCGCAAATATATAAATAAAATGTATTGCTACTCAATATTTATAATTATGTACATAGCTGAGTATATAAAATAAAGTTCATATGTAGTTGAATAGCATTGCTATGAAACACTCCAGTAGTTGTGATATTACGGAATAATTATCTATATTTTGTAAATATAATATATATATTAAAATACATATATATATAATATTATAAAATTATACATAATAGTATAATATACATAATAGTGTAATATTATAAAATTATATATAATATCTTAATATTATGTAATACAATATTATTAATATTTGCAAAATGGTTAAAACTCCGTGATATCACACAATACTTTGAGTGTTATCAGATATTTGATATCACAAATAGCTACAATGTTAGTAATTATGTGAAAGTGAGACACTGGGAAGAAAGTGAAATACCGAATTACGTTTTAAATATTTTGTTAATAATGGTCAGTAAAAATGCGCTCTAATATAATCATTTATAAACATTTATCAATATTGGGTTATACAGAATCGAATTATCATGGAAAATAATAATACATATTTCAAGATGTAACATTATAACCATTCAAATATTTCCAAAGTCCTATAATAAGATTTCCATTATAGAAGAAAGTATACATTTTGATTTCAGTTGCATATATGTATACATTAATTTCAGGTTTTGATACGAGCTATGTATACAGAATATAGTTTATATATTATATTAAGACACATGGAAAAAATAATAAGACATTATTAAAGTAAACATTTAAAATACGAATGAAATTTCTTTACTCTTATAATGTATAATTAAAAAGGAAAAGAAATATGTAGATTGCGGATATTTGTACACAATTCGTTTGCATTATAAATGTTTCTGGACAAAGTGGAAATGAGATAAAAATAGAAACTTAACGAGTTGCACGCGAACTGGGTACAAAGATTGTGATTTTTGAAAAATTAATACAATTTGATGGAAATTTTGTATAATTTTGAGGTATGTATATATTTATATATATATTATAGATATAGAGATATACTCTATCAGTATGCAAAAAAGCATACTTTTGTAGAATATTATATGGCATACATATAGTCTTTGAGTTTGTGACTCGTTTCAGCAAGTAGGCGAAGTAATAGTGATCGTAGTTAGGCATTAAAACGTACTCTTGCATTACAAACATTAATGTTCTCCATCGTCCTTTCACTATCTACAAATATGCATATGTAGGTATTATCAAAAGACATAATTGTGTGTGCGTGTGTGTTCTGTGTCTTCCTTACTGGGATATGGAAAGATCTTTTTTTTTCTTCTTTGCTTAAACTAAAATCTGAGATTTTAGTTGAACTTCTATCGCATCTTGTATAAAAATGCCGAAAACATCGTATCGAATTATTCTTCGATTGAACTGAAAACATAAATAATGTGAAACGTGGAGCTAAATATTTAGAGATATGTAATGATTAAGAAATTACATGAACTTATATCTCTTTCAAAATATACCACGTGCTACGATTTGATCGTAAAATGTGGATGTGTGAAAAACTATCGAAAATACCAGTGGAATATCCTTAAGAAGATATTGTGATGCTTTATTGTTAATATCGACATGAATCTTCGTGTATGAGAATAACTGAATAGAGAGGATACAAAGGCTGTGCAAAAGCTATATTCGAAATATAATACCTACACAAGGATAATCTAGATTTTAATGGATAAAAATTCATTGTGTTCCTTTTATCCTGCATGCAGTGTATACATATATACATTAATCACTCTATAAAATCGTGTTGAATAATCCAAGTGAAAATAAGCATGCAAAGTTACTTAATTTTTTTGATGATCATAATATGTAATTAAAATTTTGAAGAGCAATTTATTTTTATTGAATTTTCAATTTTATTATTGCGCCAAATTTATTAATAAGAATTTTTTTAATTATATCTATTGATCATTCCTTTCTAAAATACATATACATATATACAATCTGAAAAAAAAAAAAAAACAAATTACGCAAATTCTGCTAATTAAGTGTTTGAAAAAATGGACGATTATATTTACGATATAATTATATAATTGCAAGAGATTGAAGATTTTTAGAACATGCAAGTTTACGTACTTGTTTCCTAATATGTAATGATAATATAAAATATAAAAAAGCTTTTTATGATCTCGAAGAAACTATCTTATGTTCTTTTAAAATACGATTTAATTTATTCTAGTGATCTTGCTGCGCGCGCATTCTTGTGCGCAAATATTAGGGGATTTGTGATCCTAGATCCATAAACTGAGTGTATTTTAACATTGAGATAGGAAAGTCGAACCTGTGGCTCAACTAGTCGATACGAATCAAATGGAGCGCTATGATTGGTGCGGCCATGTTTGCCTCATCGAAACTAGAGGGCGTTCGGGGCATAATCTAAATACGAATATGCGTAACATCTAAACATTTGTGCATTTGTGGTTTGGGATTTTGGCGCAACGCTTCGATGCTTCGATGTTTGTAAGTATAAATCAAGAAATAAAAATAGTTTATGTGATATTAAATTAAGAGAAATATGATTTTGCATTGTTTTTCTAATCAACTGTCAGGATGCATGTCCATTTGTTTCGATTTTAACGTACATTTTCATAGTACGTTAATTTAAGATTCAATCGGAAAGCTGGTTCTTTTGCGATATGCGATCGATGACTGCGCATGCGCGACAAATTCATAGATCCTCCCTCTGACATTTTGTCGTTCAAAGTATTTTATCACGTACGAAAATTCGAGGATTCTGATGTTTTTTCGGTCGCTAAATTTCGAAACTTAGTAAGTCGAGTAGTATATTATATATCGAAATATATTAAAATCTTAAAATCTTGACAAAAAAACAATATAGGAGATTATGCCGGTATCGTGTAAAATTTAAAGAGATATATTAAACGTTTTTTACTTTGCCAAATTAATTATTGAAACTGCGGTACGCACTACAAATCTAAAAGATTTTAAAAATAACAAAAGATTCTGTATAGAATGTAATATAATTCGGTTTTATCTGAAAATTGTTTGCCTTATCATATCTCTCGACGAGCTTATGAAATATGAAAAGCGAGAATATTGAGAATAAAAACATAAGCATTCTTGCAAAAATTATATTCCAATTTAATGTGTAAAATGTTTTACTTTGTTATACCCATGAATATTTTGTTTATATACCAAGCATTTTATTTATTTCAAAAACTGAGGTATACTGAGGGACAGCAATATATAAATAATATAATTAATTTTTTATATTTTATTTTTTATTTATTACTTCTATATCATTATTTTTGTATTTTTATTTATTGTTATCCTCTCAATATTTAAGTTTATAGTGTATTTTCGTGAATATAGCAAAAAGTAAAATATTTTTCACAAATTCAAATATATACCCATATATATATACCCAGGTAGCAAGATAACGTCTAAAGACATCTTTAGACGTCATCTTGCTACCTGGGTATATATATATATATATTTTTTTTTTTTTTCAAATTCAAATATACATATATATGAATGTACGTATGTATGTATATATGTATATACGTATTTGTGTATATGTATAAAATATTAAATAATATTAAATGCAGAAAATAATTTAAGTTGATATTAATATTCATATTTTATAATTATTAAATATTTTAGATACATGCATATGGATTATCATAAATGAAATATCATCGAAATGTTTGGTGGAAAAGCGTCAGACGGCGGACAATCTTTCAAGTGAAACGTTGCTTGACATGGTCCTTGCGGAAATTCGATCCTGCAGAAATAATACGGCAACCCCGACGGGAGGGAGTAGACATATGAGTGTGCACATTGGAGCTTTCGATAACTACTATCAATCAACGCGTGATATCCGCGCGATAATACGGGGCGGCGAAGTGATAGGTGCGTGTTGGTGCTTGCTCGTCAGTCGGACAAGACGGTTCGCGTGATCGAGGTGCCAGTTTGTCCCTGGCAATCTCGATGTGAATCGCGATCTTTCGCTATCAAATATTCGTAGAATTGATGACGCTTTTATCTATAGTCTTAGTAGTAGTCTCTTATATTTTTTTGACTCTCTAAGCATTTGATTGCATCATGAAATTTGCTTTTTCTCCCCAAATATAGTTTGATGAAGCTCGAAACGTAACGCGTGAAACGATTTTTGGTACCTGTGTGCATCATCCAAATGCAAATAAATT